GTACCAACTGTATCGCGTTATTTATTTATTTATTTATTTGGCCATGCCACATGGCTGGTGGGATTTTAGTTCCCTGACAAGGGATTGAACCCAGCCCTCAGCAGTGAGAGTGCGGAATCCTAACCACTGGATTGCCAGGGAATTCCCTATATTGTATTTTTTTCATTAAAGTTTTTATTTTGAGATAATTGTAAATTCACATGCAGTTTTATGAAATAATTCAGAGCTTTCCTGTACCCTTTACCCAGTTTCCCTCAATGGTAACATCTTGTAAAACTTTACTGTGATGTCACCGCCAGGATATCGACATTGATATGGTCAAGATACAGAACAGTCCCATCACCATGACTCTTCCTCCTGTTGACCTTTCACAGCCACACCTGCTTCTCCTTTCCCACCATGCTAAACCCCTGGCAACCACTAATCTGTTCTCCATTTCTAAATTTTGTCCTTTTGAGAATGCTGTATAAATAGTATTGTATAGTATGTAACCATTAGAGATTTTTTTTTTTTTTCCATTCAGCATAACTCTCTTGACATTCATCCAAGTTGTTTCCTGTATCTGTAGTTCTTTTTTATTGCTAAGTAGTAGTCTATGATATGGATGTACCACAGTTTGTTCAACCATTCACCTCTTGAAGGATGTGTGGGTTGTTTCCAGTTTGGGCTATTATGAATAAAGCTGCTATGTACATTCATGTACAGGTTTTTGTGTGGACATAGTTTTCATTTCTTTGGGATAAATGCCCAGGAGTGTAGTTCTGGGTCATATGAAAGTTGCATGTTTAATTTTTTGGAAACTACCAAACTATTCTAGAGTGGCTGTACCATTTTACATTCCCACCAGCAATGTATGAGTCTCTCTGCATTCTTGCCAGTATTTGGTGGTGTCACTTTTTATTTTAACCATTCTGATGGGTAGGTAGGTAGTGATATCTCATTGTGCTTTAATTTGCATTTCGTTAATGGTTAATGATGTTGAACATCTTTTCATGTGCTTATTTGCCATCTGTGTATTCTCTTCTGTAAAATGTCTGTGTGTGTCTTTTGCCCACTTGCTAACTGGGTTTATTTTAATAGACTTCTTATTGTAGAGTACTTTAGATGTACAGAAAAATTGTGATGATACTACAGAGTTCCCATATACCCCACACCCTGTTATGAACACCTTAAATCAGTGTTGTACGTTTGTCACAATTAATGGATCAGTACTGATACATTCTTGTTGACTAAAGTCCATACTTTATCCAGATTTCCTTTGGTTTTACCTAACACCGTTTTCCTCTTCCAGGATGCCATTCGGGATACCGTATTACATTTAGTCATCATATCTCCTTAGGAACCTCTTGGCTGTGCCGGTTTCTCAGACTTTCCTTGTTTGTTTTTTGGTTTTTTTTTTTTTTTTTTGGCCACGCTGCATGGCTTGTGGGATCTCAGTTCCCCGACCAGGGATTGGATCCGGGCCGTGGCAGTGAAAGCCTGGAATCCTAACCACTAGGCCACCAGGGAACGCCCATGACTTTCCTTGTTTCTGATGACTTTGCTAGTCTTGAGGAGTACAGGTCAGATATTTTGTAGAATGCCCCTCAACTGGGATTTGTCTGGTGCTTTTCTCATAATTACACTTGGGCTTGGATTTGGGGGAGGAAGACCACAGAGGTAAGTGCCCTTTCTTACCATATATCAAATGTATTTACTATCTACATAGCTCATACTGTTGATGTTAACCTTCATCACCTGGCTGAGGTAGAGTCTGTCAGGTTTCTCCACTACACAGTTACTGTTTCTTTTTTCCCCCTTTTCTTACTGTATTCTTCGGAAGTCCCCATTTGCAGCTCCACACTTAGGGGATGGGGAGTTATCCTCCATGTCATTGAGGGTGTTTATCTACGTTAATTCTTTAGAATTTACCTGCAAGGTAGATTTGGTCATTCTCTCCCATTTATTTATTTGTTTGTTTAATCAGTCATTTATATCCGTGTGGACCCATAGATATTTATTTATTTATTTTCATATTTATTTATTTTATACTTTGTGTTGTGATCTAATGCTACCTTATTTATTTTGTTGCTCAGAATGTCTTGCTTTGGCCATTGGGAGCTCTTTCAGTTGTGTCCTTCTGACATACCCCCATGATTGTGGGGGGCTTTTTTTTTTTGGAGCCCTCCTCACTTTCTGGCGCTACATGATTCTTCAGGCTCATCCTGCATATTTTCCTGTTCCAGTGCTAGAAACATTTGCTCCTCCAAGAAGCCCTGGTCCCTCTTATTGAAGAATGATATTGAAAATAAATTTGGGTTCCATTGTTTGTCTTTTCACTGCTGAGTTTTAAGAATTCTATGTGTTTTCTAGATACTGGTCTTTTGTCAGATTGGTGCTTTGCAAGTATTTTATCCCAGTCTGTCGCTTGTCTTTTCATCCTCTTAACAGAGTTTTTCACAGAGCAAAAGTTTTTAATTTTGATGCAATCCTATTTATCAGTTTTTCCTTCTGAGAACTTTTGGTGTCAAGTCTCTAAGAACTCATTGCCTACCCCCAGTTCCTGAAGATTTTCTCTTATTGTTTCCTAAAAGTGTTGTATTTAACTTTTGCATTTGCTACATTTACATATGCTCAATTCGACAACCCTAGCCAAGAGGAAACCTTGGCTTGATGGAAACCTCCAGGGGCCCAAGGAGCCACCTTGCTGCACAGCTTCAACTGAAGTTATCAGCTCAAAACAGTCTTCATTGAAGTGAGAGGCAAATCACTTTCCTCAAAGTGGGGAAAAAAAAACCTAAGATTATTCAGCTTGAGGGCAGGAACTATTCAGTTGTGGCTATAAAGTAATAAAATGCATTTTTATGAATGGTTTATGGACTTATAAAAATCACCAACTTTGGGCTGGAAGAGAACGTCACACTGATGTCTCTATGGTTCCTCTAGTTCTAACATTCTTCTATAAACAAAGTCAGTGAGCGGTACTTGCCGCACAGCAGCAGCCTGTATATTCTTGTTTAAAATGTAGATTCATGACCCCTCTGATTAACTATCTTGGGTTTGGACCTGAAATTTAAAGAATCTACTTAGCATACCCTTCTATTCATTAGAGTTTGAGAATCACTGTCACAGCCTGGCCTTGTTATTTTATTGTCAGATCATCAGAAACAACTGCGGAGTTTTCTCAGCTTTTGATGCCGACGTGTCCACCAGGGGTTGAGAACTTCTGTCTCCAAAAACTATGTATCCTCGTAGCACCTAATGCCTTGATAGGCACTCAACGCAATACCTTTTGATGCCTAACAATTATTCCGACTTTAGATGTGAAATCCAGTTGTTTCATGACCCTTACACTGTTGCTTTTGCTCTTTAGGCAGCTTACTGGCCATTAGCATTATCTTTTGCACTGGAGCATGGAGTCAGCAAACTACCACCAGGGACCAAATTTAACCCACTGCCTGTTTTTGTAAATAAAGTTTTATTGGGACACAGCCACACCCAGTGGTTTACATACTGTCTCTGGCTGCTTTTGTGCTACAGCAAAACTGATTAGATGCCACAGAAACCTTACAGCCCACACAGCCTAAAATATCTATCTGGCCCTTTACAGAAGAAAGTTTGTTGTCTCCTGTGCTGGAGCATTGAAAGGGAAAAAATAGACTTTGTTTCAGATTTTACCTTTTAAGCCTTTTTCTGGTAAAAGATTTGATTGCAACAGCAATAGCCAGTGAAATTAACTGGTGGTTTCTTTCTTTTTTAAAAAAAATTAATTTATTTTTGGCTGTGTTGGGTCTTCATTGCTGTGCACGGGCTTTCTCTAGTTGCGGCGAGCGAGGGCTACTCTTCATCGCGGTGTGTGGGCTTCTCATTGCGGTGGCTTCTCTTGTTGCGGAGCACGGGCTGTAGGCGCGCGGGCTTCAGTAGTTGTGGCTCACAGGCTCTAGAGTACAGGCTCAGTAGTTGTGGCGCACGGGCTTAGTTGCTCCGTGGCATGTGGGATCTTCCCGGACCAGGGCTTGAACCCGTGTCCCCTGCATTGGCAGGCGGATTCTTAACCACTGTGCCACCAGGGAAGCCCAACTGGTGGTTTTTTGAGAGATATCATCAGATATTCTCTCTTTCTGAAACTACCTACCTGCTGGGCCTTCTTGGAAACCTAGAATTTATACTTCTTAAGGCAGTGTTTCTCAGAGTGTGGATCTCATGCTGTCTGCATCCAAATCACCAAGAGGGCTTGTTTAGAATGCAGATTCCTGAATCCCACCGAAGACCTACTGAATGGGAATTTCTGGAGGTATGCCTGGACATGAGATTACTCCCTCTTTTGTAACTATTGGTGTATCTGGCCTCTGTTGTAGCAGTCAACGCGATACATTTCTTTTTTTTTTTGAGGTTTGAACCCAGAGTATTTATTGTCATGGGAATATGAAGAAATGTTCATATTCCTGTGCTTTTCTTTTTCTTTTTTTTTTTTTTTTTTACATATATCTCTTCTTTTTTGGATTTCCTTCCCTTTTAGGTCACCACAGAGCACCAAGTAGAGTTCTCTGGGCTGTACTGTAGGTTTTCATTAGTTGTCTGTTTTATACATAGTAGTGTATATGTGTCAATCCCAGTCTCCCAGTTCATCCCACCCCACCTCCCGTTCCCCCTTGGTGTCCATACATTTGCTCTCTACATCTGTGTTCAACAAGATATATTTATTTGTTTACCTGCCTATGTTTCCTATTGAGACTGTGAACTCCTTCAGGGTAGGTATTGTGTTATTCATTGCTTTTGTATTCCAAGCCCCAGATTAGGCACATTTAATTGTTGTCGTTCTCAAAGGGTGGTCCATGGAGGCTGGGAGTCTCAGAGACCCCTTTAGGGGTCACAAGATCAAAACAGTTTTCTTAATTGTACCAGGACATGATTTGCCTTTTTTGCTATGCTGTTGACATTTGCACTGTTGATGGAAAAGCAATGGTGGGTAAAATTGCTGGCGCCTTACCAGGAATTAAGGCAGTGGAAACCATGTTCTACCAGTTACCGTATTGTCCACTGCCATGAATTTGTAATAAAAACAGTGCCAGTTTCACTTAAAAATATACTTCATGAAGAGTAAAAATTATTAATTTTATTAACTCGTAACCCTTGAGTTCACACATTTTTCACATTCTGTGTGACAAAATGATTAGTACGCAGGAAACAATTCTGCGGGCTGAAGTACACTGGGGAAAAGCGTTCCTGGACCCAATTCCAGTGTGTGTGTAGAGGCCTCCACACACCAACAAGCAATTCTTATAGGCCAGACGTTCCCATGACTTCCTCCTTGGCTTCAGTTAACTTGCTAGCACGGCTCACAGAACTCAGGAAAACCCATTTATTTACTAGATTACCAGTTTATTATAAAAGGATATAAAACCACAGCCAAGATGAATGATAGAGATACATAGGGCATGGCCTGGGGAGAGGGGGCAGACCTTCCATTCCCTCTCCAGGTGCATCACTCTCCCCAATCCTCACATGTTCCCCAACCTGGAAGCTCTCTGAACCTTGTCCTTTGGATTTTTAGTGAGGCTTCATTACAAAGGCATGACTCAGTCACTGGCCATTGGCAACGGATTCAACCTCCAGCCACTCTGCCCTCCCCAGAGGTTGGGCGTTGGGACTGAAAGGTCCCACCCTCTAATCACATGGTTGGCTCTCCTGGCAAGCAGCCACCCTCCTTCTGTGGGATCCAAAAGTCACTTTCTCTGAAGCGTTTCCAGGACCTGAGGACAAGAGACCAAATATTATCTCGCTGCTTTTATAGCTCAGGAAAGTCCAAGGGTTTTGGGAGCTGTGAGCTAGGAATTGTGAATTAATATATACATTCATCTGAATGACCAATATATTGCAGCTGGTCACTTGAGGAAAAAGCACGTGACATTATTTGACTTGGTAACTGAACTAGCTACTCTTTTTTTCATGGAACATCATTTTTAGTTGAAAGTACAAACGACAGACAAACTGTGGCTATGGAGATTTAGGTATTTGGCAGAACTTTTCTAGAAAAAGTGAGATTGTTACTTCAAGGAAAACAACTGACAGTATTTGTTGCCAATAATGAAATTAGACCTTTACAGGAAAAAGGATTTTGGAAGACTTTTATCTGCTATGAGCTTGACAGCTTCCCAATACTTAAAAGACTTCTAATTAGATTGGTGGTAATTAAAAAAATAGTGAAATACGTTAACATTTGAAAGGCTGCATAGCTCAGTGAACTGGAATTTTACAAATGACCAATGCATGATGTCATCAGTCATGCATGGGTAAAAGATCTATTCAAAGTGCAAGATAGACCAATGGTGGGGATTTTTTGTTTTTTTGCCGCACCTTGCGGCATGTGGAACTTCCCCGACCAGGGATTGAACCCACGTGCCCTGCAGCAGAAGCGCAGAGTCTTAACCACCAGACTGCCAGGGAAGCCCAAGACCAATGGGTTTTAAAGTATCAGAGTACAAAAATTCACTAATATGTTTTCAGATTCCACATTGCAACTAACTTTTAAGAACCTACCATTTGTTGAATTTTATTGTAGTAGTAAAAAGAATACTCCACAATTATCTGAAAAGGCCATTAAAAGATTCCTTCTTGGGCTTCCCTGGTGGCGCAGTGGTTGAGAGTCCGCCTGGCGATGCAGGGGACACGGGTTCGTGCCCTGGTCCGGGAAGATCCCACATGCCGCGGAGCGGCTGGGCCCAGTGAGCCATGGCCGCTGAGCCTGCGCGTCCGGAGCCTGTGCTCCGCAATGGGAGAGGCCACAACAGTGAGAGGCCCGCGTACCACAAAAAAAAAAAAAAAAAAAAAGATTCCTTCTTTCTTCAACTACACAGTGGAGTGAGGCTGGATTTTCCTTATATACTTCAACCAAAACTAAAATTGTAACAGGTTGAATGCAGAGGCAGATACGAGAATCCAGTGGTTTTCTATCAAGCCAGACATTAAAGAAATTTACAAAAATGTAAAGCAATGTCATCCTTTTCTCTGGTTTTTAAACAATTATTTTGGAAACTAGTTATTTTTCTGTAAAAATATTTACATAAAATGGATTTTCTTATTTTTAAATGAATTAAATGTTTAAATTTCTCGGTTTTAACATCTAGTACAGTAAATAGTGGTAGATACAATCTACATAAACACTCTTTATAGAGTTCTCAATAATTAAAAGTATAAAGGGTCCTGAGACAAAAAAAGAAAATTGAGAACAGCTGGTATAGAGGCTGCAACAGGGATTTGGAGAAAGAAGGCCTAAATTCAAGTTCCGGTTCTATCACTTAACTGCGATTTTAGGTAAGTTACTTAGGTGCAGGCTCTGAAGACAGACCTTGTGTTTATATTGGCTCCATCACTTGCTGGTAGTATGTGAGTCATTCTACCTCTGCAAATAGGGATAACCTACTTCACCAGGTTGCTGTGAGAATTAAATGGGATTATACTTGTCAAATGCTTACAGTTGTTACCTACAACATAGAGTTTAAAAGCTAGCTACTGGTATTAGTTATATTAGCTAGTCATCTGACAGGATCCTAGAGGCTGGGGCACAGTCCTGGCTTTCTTCATCCTCTCTGTGTCACCGAACCCAGGTCCAGCTGCTTGCCTCTGGAAAGCCAATTCTCGAGAGATGAGTGTTGGTAGGAAAGGAAAGCTTGCTTTATTTTGGAGGCTGGCAACTGGGGGAGAGGGTGGACTCCTGTCCAAGAACCAACTCCCGACTGCTCTCGGGACAGGGGCTTTTAAAGGGGAGTTTCAGGGTTGCACAGGCAGGAGCAGAACAGCACAGTCAGTTCGGACAGTCATCGTGAAACCAGTAATGCGGTGGTCTGATCAGCATCATCTTGGTTGTTTTAAGAACATTTAATCTTTAGTTCCAGGGTTTCCATTTCTTTGAGGCCAGTTCTTGGAATTGTGGCAGCTTATGTCATGGCTACAGTCTGGTCATCATGTAGTTAACTTCTTCCACCTGGTGGGGATTTCAGTATCTGTAAGACAGCTCACAGGATACGGCTCAGAATATTATCTATAGCCCTTGAGGAGGGACTGAAGGTCCTTGACTATGCTTAATGACTAAACTATTATTTGGTCTCCTTTGACTGTTTTCCTTTGTTTCTGCATTTTCTCACTTCTCTGATTAAACTTATTCTTTGGCTAAAGTTTTTCCACAGACAAAAGGCGGGCTGAGGACACGGGGTGAGGGGCAGGGACCGTAGGGTCCTGCTGCATTTCATCTGCAAAGAACAGAAGCTGTTCAGGTGTTATAAATTTGAGGAGAAGGTATAAGTAAACTTGTGGATAATTGTGTGTGGCTCTTAAACTGTAAGAGAATTAATCTGTTATTAAAAAACCCCTTTTAGTTTCCTTTTTCTCAGCTTTTGAAGAAATAACAAGACTGAAAAACATTCCCTGAACCCTTGCCCTATAATCTAGTTAGAAAATAGGAAAGTATTTTATTGCATGCCCGAAGGAATTGAAGTCTTCCAGAAAACTAAATAGGAGAGCTGGCAGGGCTACTACTTGGGAAATTCTTTTAACCTCTTGACCTCTGTTATGTCATCTTGCTGGACAAAAATATCTCATCTCCAACCCTCTTGCGGCTTTCGAATCCTGCCAGGCTCAGCTCTACATCTTTTAAAGATATCTTTTTGGCAGCTTCTAAATCCCAGTAAACGCAAAGGAGAGGGGCAAAGACCCAGAGACAATCTTTTGTTCCCTTGCAAATGCCAATGGTATCTGTTCTCAGCACCCAGAAGTGGAGGTCTGGGTAGGCGCAACTACCGCCAGCGCCCTGTCCTACTTCTCACTAAGGTCATGGCATCCCGGCGTCCCTGCACCATCCCGGCCCATGAGCAGGGTTAGCCAGGGTACCACCGGGTCAGAGGTCTGTTTTCCCATCTATTAAGTGAGGAGGCTGGGTCATCTTGAAGAACCTTGCTTTCACTGCAATTTGAAACGCTCCACATCTATAACGTCTCATTCCTCATCCCTGCCTTCTAAATACCTGAGGCCTTGCACCCAGACCCCGCGCGCGGGGGGCGCGCCGCCGGCAACACCCGCGTGCCCAGCGCTCCGACCTCCAGCCCGCTCGGAGGAGCACATCTCGCGCGATTCCCTCCACCTCTCGCGACACTTCCCGCCAGCGCCCCTGCGGGCCTCCACGCCCCACCCGTTTCCTCCACGCAGCGGTCCCCGTCACCTCACCTTTGCTCTTGGCAGCCTGGCCCGCTGCTCGCCCGCTGGGAGCGCGGCGGAGCCCTGTTTTGGGCGCGAGCCCGTTAGGGCCGCAAGCTCCGCCCTGCTCTGCTCCGCTCCGCCCCTCCTGGGCTCGCGGGGAAGGCCTCCGCTGGGGATATGTCGTAGCCCACTCAGCGAAGGCAGGAGAGCTTGAAAGGCTGCGGGGCTGCAAGGTGAGTCTGCCGGGGCGCGTTGGGGGCGGCGGCCGGGCCCAGGGCTCCGACCGGCGTGCGGGTGGGAGGCACTGCGGGATGGAGATGCCAGGGGCAAAGGAGGACGCGATGCCCGAGGCAGTGAAGGGGGGCTGGGAGGACCAGCCCTGGCGGGGTGGGGGTGACCTCGGTTACAGGGACGCGGCCAGGGCCCCTTTTGCATCGACCGTGCCCGAAGGCACCGGGAAATTACCTTGTTTTCATCCACGCTCCGCTCCTCTCTGCGGGGCTGGACGCGGGACGGGGAGAGGCGTCCGCGAACCCTGAGGTCCCAGACCTGGGCTGCAGGAGGCCCGGGGTCGTGGGGAGAAGGGACACACAAAGTGGCGGAGGTAAATTCGTGCTGGGAAAAAAGATAAAGTGGCGGAAGCTGGAGAGCGTCCGCTTCGAGGGAGGCCGGGTGTTTGCGGTCCCGCTGCGCTCGGTGCTGAGATAGCGATGGTCTTGCCCGCGCCCCTCCAAGCAGCCTGGGCTTACTTTCGACGTCTACTGTGTTAGTCTCTGCGAGTGTTAAAGGGGCGGAAACACACAGGTCACGGTCTTCCTTGAGGGAAGGAGGCTTTTGAGGTCACTTGTTACTTTTCGTCTGAGACCTGGATGGTGCGAGTGGGTGCGCGCGTGCGCACAGTGGCCCCAAGCGAGGGTTCGCGTTTTCAGAATTTGTACCATAGTCTCTACTTAAGCACCCTTCAAGCATTGATAAAAAGTGACTGGTTCTTAAGTGAATAGTTTTATTTTCAATAGTGTGATTCCAGTAGTCATGTAAATGTGTAATGACAAGGGCCTGGAGCCTAAAACCAGGCGTTATTAAGACGGAGTACGCGTTTTTGCCTTGGGACCAGACTTAAATTGGAAATTGGGGTAAAATTTTTTTTGCAGTCAAGATTTCGACCATGTGTTTCTTGTGATTCCAGTTTTGTTTAATTAAAACCATGCAGTTTTCTGAGAGGATTGGAAGATCAGTGCAAAGTGGTTGGTCTAACTATAAGAAGCGTTTTGTTTAAGGCCTCCTTACTCCAAAAAAAAAAAAAAAAACCCCAAAAACAAAACCAAAAAAAGCTGTTAATTTATGTTATTTCTGTTTTAAATTATGTAGCCCCCTTAGTTTTTTTTCAGAAATGACTCCTTAAAAATGACCAGTTTTGTGTGTGAACAATTACACTGTTAATAGAAGGAAATTTTACTGATAGTTTTCTTTTGTCTTTTAGAGAAAGAAATGTCATCAGTGGAATCACACGAGGAACAATTGTCCCAGTCAGATCCATCCCCGTCACCAAACTCATGTAGTTCCTTTGAGCTAATAGACATGGATGTTGGCAGTTTGTACGAACCCGTTTCTCCTCATTGGTTTTATTGTAAGATAATAGATTCTAAGGAGACATGGATTCCTTTCAACTCTCAGGATTCACAGCAGCTGGAAGAGGCATACGGCTCTGGTAGGGTGAAAGCTATGACTTGTAATAGCCAAGGACTTACTGTCATTTCTCTAAAACTATAATATAAAAGTCCTTATAGTGAGTGCTATTAGAAGTAAATTTTAGATCTTTTTCTAGTTGTCTCATAGCATTTTTTTTGCTTTACATTTTTTATACTTTCCAAATTTTACTTAATAATCTTTTCTTTTTAACATCTTTATTGGAGCATAATTGCTTTACAATGATGTGTTAGTTTCTGCTTTATAACATCCTATAGCATTTTTATATAGAAGTTCTGCATTACTATCCAGCCAATTTATAATACTCAAGAATTTGGTCTGTATCTTGAAAACAGTACCTATTGTAATTCCTGCATAGTTAACCAATAATGTTTCTTATGTTTCAGTTTCTGTTTATGAAGAGTGTGGTGCGGGCAGTGTCACATTGCAAAAGAATGAATTCTTTCATTTTTCTCTTGTTTTTTCTTCTTTTATGGAAACAAGAATGATGCCGGTTACTACTTTATCATCATGATGGTCATTAATTTATCTTTTGGTCCCTTAAACAAAAAATTCAGAAAAGCTTTCTTGTATACATTTTTTTTTTAAGGGACACTCCTATCTCTCCTTAGAAAAAGAACAAAACAGCATTGGGTATTACTTTTTTCATGTTTCATTAAAACCAAGAATGATTTTGATGGTTTATAAAGTAGTTTAGCCAAGAAGAAACAGATCATTCGTGTGTTTTATAACATTATTGAGAACATAACTCAGAGTTGTATTTTGGGAGCTTTATTTTGCTATACTATGTACTTCATTTCCCGTTTCCACTCCTTGATAGGAAAAGACTGTGATAGGAGAGTTGTGCCCACTGATGGGGGCAGATACGATGTTCATTTGGGGGAGAGGATGCGGTACGCCGTATACTGGGATGAGCTAGCATCGGAAGTGAGGCGCTGTACCTGGTTTTACAAGGGAGACAAAGATAATAAGTATGTTCCATACTCGGAGAGCTTCAGCCAAGTGTTAGAGGTATTCCTGTGACCCTTTTACTCATTTTCTTCATTGTGTTCTCTTATTTCATAATCTTTTCTTCCTCTTGTGACTTATTCTGTGAATTTACAGAGAGAGTTTCGTTCTATTTGCATCACAGTTCATAGCGTTTCTTTTTGCAAGTTAGTTTCAGGATAAAGTAGTTTTATTTTCAAATTTTGAAATACTATGGAAACTATTATGTATTTAAATTAAAATTTTTTTTCTCTAATGGTGATCTTTGTGAATATTTAAAATGTGACCACAGGATTGGTCTTTTTTGCCTTTTATTTTTCTTGCTCTGAAAATATTCTGAAATTTGCTTTAAATTGGAGTAGGATATTAATATTATTGAACGAAATATATCAAAATGTGAACAATGATTATTTCTAGTCTTGATGATGGAATTGGGACTGATTTTTTTCCTTTGTCCTGTACTATTATCATAATTTTAAAAGAATTTTAAAATAAATTTGACAAATCAAGAGAAAGAACTTTATATGTAATGTAATCCTCATTTTATGGATAATATACATGCGTTAACATTACTGAAAGAAATATATCAAAATGTGTACAGCGATTATCTCCAGTCTAGATGATAGAAGTAGAAGTGATTATTTTTTCTTTGTTCTATACTAGTACCTGTTCTCATTTTAAGAGAATTAAAATAAATTTGATAAATTAGAGTAAGATACTCTTATTGTAATTGTTTATCTAGCAGTATTCTTGTTAAAAAGTTCAGTTTTAATAGAAAAACCATTACAGAAATCTAATGAAACGTGTTTTCTTTTAAGGAAACTTACATGCTTGCTGTAACTCTGGATGAATGGAAGAAGAAACTGGAGTCTCCCAACAGAGAAGTTATTATATTGCACAATCCAAAGGTTAGCAAATTAATGCCCTTCTTTAACATTGGGATTAAAGGTTAATTGCATTAGTAAGAACTTAATTGGTTTCTTTTTCTGGGGATTCTACGTAAGATAAGCTTTGGACATTTTTATATTGCATTCACAGTTATGAAACTTGAAGCTGTGGCTCTTACCATCATTTCCTTGTTCAACTCTTACACAAAAATTTTCTTAGGGAAAATTATGTCACTGTAGATTTAGAAAATCACTGACACGTTATGTGGGCACATCTTCCATGTGTAGGGTATGGTTGAAAGATCTGTTAGCCTGATGAATTTTCATTTTCCTTCTTTTTTTTTTTTTAGCTTTACTGAGGTATAATTGACAAAATAGTAAGATATTTAAAGTGTACAACATTAGCCTAATGTATTTTCAGGATTCTCATTTCAAGCTGTAGGAGTTGCATGTCAAAACTCCAGTTGAGATTTGACTATGTGTTATGTTTTAAAAGACCCGTTCCTACCCCTCAGAATGTATAAATAGAAGTGTCTTTAATGTAGAGTACGTTTATTGCTCTGATCTTTTTTATTTAAGCTTATGGTACATTACCAGCCAGTCGCGGGGTCTGATGAATGGGGTTCAACACCCACTGAGCAGGGCCGACCTCGAACAGTGAAGAGAGGGGTTGAGAACATCTCTGTTGACATTCATTGTGGTAATGTTAATCATTCATTTTTTTTCTTATCTTCTGATATACTTATTTGTTTATGACTTAAATCATGGTCTTTCTCTATGGCTTTAGATTATGTCAAGGCTTAAAAATGGTCTTTAATCAAATGGGCTTATTCTAATTAAGATTAGCATTACTTCATCTGCTAAGAATCTTAATAGGTACAAAAATCTCTTTTAAAGTTGCTAAGTATATATGGTGGGGTGGATAAAATTTGACAGTACTAATCAGGAGGTCACTAAGTACAAATGAACTGATTTAGTCCTAATTCTAAGAAGTGTGATTCCACCTGCTTGATTATTAATTTATTCCTGGTAACTCCTGAAGGTTTTCAGGAGGTTTTCAACCAGGGAAAACTCTTTTTCAGGGACCTTGATGGTTATCCATTGCTCTCTAGCTAGGGTCATTTATGGTTGGTTTTATAATATATTTAACTGGATTATAAAATTCCTTTCATCTTTCAGAGGAGATGGCTTGTCTCTTGGACAAAGCCGTAGACTTACTGTAATTTGAAAAGATGAGTTTAAAATTTCAGGCTTCAAGTACATATCAGACTTTATTGGTACAACTGATAAACATAGGATATTAGGTAAAAGTATCCTGTCAATATTAAATTACTTGAATTTGGTAACTGCCCTGTGGTTAAATAAGAGCATATTCTTAGGAAATACATAATAAAATATTAAAGGGTTAAAGAGATGTGATATGTGCCATCTGATAATGTATGCAGCCTGCTCCCAAATGGTTCAGAAAAATAAATGTGTGTGAATACACATACACATAGAGAAATAAAGCAAATGTAGTAAATGTTAGTGTTGAATCTGTATAAAAAGTACATGAGAGTTTCTGTACTGTTCTTTCAAGTTTTCAATAAGATTGCAGTTATTTCAAAATAAAAAGTTTAAAAAACTTGAACAATTTTTTCACTGACTTATTACAAGATAAATAAGAAACAAAGTAACATCACTATGTTTTTACTAAGTAGTTAAATATGGGGCTATCTGTGTCTTTTAAAATATCTGCTCATATTTTAATTTGCCCATTTCTATTGTCTACGCATTGTGAATGTTTGATTTTAGAATACATGACTCGTTATATAGAGTAATTTTTCTTTGTAATTTCACGTGTAGGGGAACCTTTACAGATAGATCACTTGGTTTTTGTAGTCCACGGGATCGGACCAGCCTGTGATCTCCGCTTCCGAAGCATTGTACAGTGTGGTAGGTTCGCAAAGCATGTCATATTAGATCATGTAAGGGGACTGTTAGTGCTCCTGTGAGTTGAGATAAAGTGTTGTCTTTAGTCTGTTGTCTTAGCTGCATAATAAGATTTGGAGAGATAAAGACAGGTGGCAAGGTAGTCAAGCTTCCCAGCTTAGACCTAAAGTGCTAGTAAATTCCTTAGGCTAATAGGTTTATATTCTTAACTAATAATTCTTGAGTGAATAAGCCCTCAAGTCTTATACAATTGTTTTATGACGTGATGGTCCTGTTTATAACCATTCTAAATTTAAAGGGAACCATAAATATATGACCATGAAGATAATACAGTTTAAATGAATAACAGAAGCTTCAACCATTTTTGTAATTCATACTGTGATAAACCTTATGATATTCTAATTGGAATATTTGGGTCATTAGTATAACTTGACTTTGAAAGGTAGTATTCATAGTCTAACTGCCCTAATTTGGGAGTCTGATCCTAATGGCTAATGCTTCTAAGCATAAACCTCCTAGAAGGTTAAGATCGACACAATGTGAATTCCAAACAGCAGTGTATTTTTTAAAAATTTAAAATATTGGGTAAAGGTTGTTTATAAGAACCAGAAAGTTAGGATAGGAACCTGACTGCAAGGCCAATTGACATAGTCAAGTGGTTTTTTAAAAAAATGGAAACAGTTCCCTTGACACGGCAGAAGTTTTGAAGTTACTGTGTGATTTTTTTTATATAAAAATGTTTTGTATAGTAACAGCAGTTCTATATTAAAGGAATGTCTTTTCCTACATGCACTGTTAATTTTTTCTTGAATACTCACTCTACTTTTGACTGGAGTCAATAGGTGCTATAAGCAGATATAGATGGATATAGTATAATTAATTATAAGATCTGTTGCATTTTCACTCTACAAACTGATCGCTTCACCATTAATGCATTGTTAATTTTCTTTTCTAGTTAATGATTTTCGCAGTGTTTCTTTGAACCTGCTACAGACGCATTTTAAGAAAGCCCAAGAAAATCAGCAGATTGGGAGGGTAGAATTTCTCCCAGTCAACTGGCACAGTCCTTTGCATTCCACTGGTGTGGATGTGTGAGTAGTACTTTACACCTTTGAGTTGCTAACTGTGATTGTAATGTTTTATGATCATTGATATGCTTAGGAACATTTCTGCTATAGCTGATCGTATATATAAAATTTTGTTCAACAGAAAACTTTTTGTACTTCTGTGTCTTTTTCTTAGAGATACATTATTAAGTGCGGACCAATCCCTTTGTTTAACTAGCTCGGGTTAGGAGTGGGGAGTTGTGTGTATCTTCTTCCAGTATGTTTTACTGGCTCATTAGTGTTTACTATTACAGCTTTATTATTTCTTTAGCATAAAGCCAAATGTTGCTTTCTCCGCATAGTTTATAAGCATTTCCATCTTAAGATGTCAAAAGCCAATCTACCTCAAGATGCACAAAGTATTTTGTTGTTTCTTTTGTGATCACATTTAGATAATATTTGTCCAAATTTGGGGAAAAAAGGAAATTCCCAAATATTAAATTATTGGTGTTTATAACTTGAGGTATAATTGGTGCAATGACTTATAAGTGATGGCTTTCTTAAGTTACAAGCTCAGTAGTTCTGTTTGTAAACTTTTTGGTAATGTCAGAGAAGGTTGCCTTATATTAAGGATATTCAGCTGTGGGCTTGCCAGAAAGAAGTATGTTCATAATATAGTTCTAGGATAGAACTAGGAGATGCTTCTCTGGTAGATAAAGGAAGTAGCATTGTTTCCATGCTGGTCTTGGAAATGGCTTTTCTGATTCCGTGTCTCTCAGTTCTTAATACCCTATGATTTGAGCATATTCCACGTGCCAAATGCTCCATTGTGGTGTTGCTTTTACTAGTGTACAGAGTTCACATTCTTTCATATTTGAGCTGATGCTAAGAGGTTACTAGGGGCACATAGCCCTCTCTAAACTACAGAAGATGTTGAAGGTTTGAGGAGTCTTTCTGGGAGCTTTGAGAAAGCTTTATGTGGAAGCTGATTTATACTACGTCAACATTGTTTTCCTTTGCGAGATATGAGTTCTGTTTGTCCTTGGCATCTGGCAGTCTCACCTTCTTTCAGCTTTTAGAAATTCGGCATAGAGAGAGAGAGATGATCCATTTATCATTTGACCTGTGATCAAAAAACCTTAATGCTGAGAATTCTAGGAAAAGCCTCTTGTATCTTTTAAAAAACTTTATTATAGAGAATTTTGTACACAAAAGTAGCATATATAATGAATCTTCATGGATTGATTATGATTACCCAGCCCAACAAGCCTCAACACGTGGCCAGTTCTGCCCCATCCATATCTCCCGTGTACTGCCCATCCCTCCACTCTATTACTTTTGGATAAAATCTTAGACATCATATCATTTCATCTGTTAAATGTTTCAGTTTGTATATCTTTTTAAGGATTAAAAATATATATATAACACCATTATCACATCTAAAAAAATTCTTAATATCAGCAAATATACAATCAGTATTCAAATTTGTAATTGTCTAATAAATGTCATGATTTGTATATACACATACATACATATACATGCACATACACACATAGTTTAAACTGGGATCATAAATTGCAATTAGTTGATGTCTTTTTAAGTCTCTTTTAATCTCTTGATTACCTTTCTATCTCTTATTTTCTTGTAATTTATGTCTTGAGGAGGCTGGGTTTTTTGTCTTGCAGCGTTTCTCACACTGAATTTTGCTGGTCACATCCCTTTGGCTTCATTACAAATGTCTGTCTGTCCTCTGTTTCCTGTAAATTGATAGTTATCCTTTGTATCTTAATTTCTAAGTGTAATTTGGATAATAACTTAGAGGAGGCTGTGGGATGTACTTAGGTTTTCTGCTTAGAATATCTTCTATTTTTTCAGAGATCTGCAGCGAATAACTCTGCCCAGCATTAACCGCCTAAGGCACTTCACCAATGATACAATTCTGGATGTCTTCTTCTACAACAGCCCCACCTACTGTCAGACTATTGTGGACACAGTTGCTTCTGAACTGAACCGATTATATGTACTTTTTCTGCAGAGGAACCCTGATTTCAAAGGGGGCGTATCCATCGCTGGTCATAGTTTAGGTAACGGATTCTTTGTGACCAGAGATGACTATCACATTTTAAGGATAGCTGGGTTTGAAGTACAGTGTCTTTTATCAGTATCAGATTCAGAAGTCTAGAACTGGTCTGTGATGAAGAATTTGGAAGGGGTTGGCAGGGTGGTGGTGGATTGGAAAGAATGACTCCCTACTTCTTAGATTTTGCTTCATGGGTAATTGGCTTATTACTTTTTTTGTATGAAAGACAGCTATTTAGTGCTAATGCTTCGAAATTGTCCCTTCTTTCTTCTGTTTTATTTGTAGGTTCACTTATATTGTTCGATATCCTAACAAATCAGAAAGATTCTTTGGGGGATGTTGACAGTAAAAAGGTAATTTAGATGTTCAGATAGGTTCTTTTGTATGCTTTCTTAGTAAGTGTTTTTAGATTTTAGGCTTTTTGTTTTTTGCTTTGTCTCATACCATAATATTTACATTTATTTTAATTTTAACAGACTTGTAATTATCTCTGTCATTCTTGGATGATAGAAGCAAGATAGTAGTATGCTTCTACAAATATTTGTCACATTCTAAAATAATTATAGGTATCTTATTTTTTCATTATAAATATGCACTACTGATCTGTTATTAGAATTATAGAATCACTGAGTTGAAATGGAATTTGCATATGAGGAAATGAAGAGTGAATTGGATGCAAATTGATATAGTTTATAGAAATTCTGTTTGAAAGCCATCCTTAAACATTAATAAGAGCTCAGGGAAGGCTTTATTAATGATGATGAAGAATACTTTGATACTCATTTATTCACTCATTCATTTATTTAAAAACATACTAGGTTTCAACTGACTACAAAAACTTAAAGATCAATCACATCTTAATTTATATTTCGTATAAATTACAATTTATTCAAAGTTAAGATAGGTCTCTGTGGATATCTAACATAGTACTTTCCTTTATTGCAAAGTAATATTAATAAAAATCTGAATGAATTTAGAGAATACGAGCTTTACAATTTAATTTTTAGGATTTGCCAAGTATTTTCATGGAACAAGGAGACACACCGACACTGGAGGAAGATTTGAAGAAACTTCAACTCTCTGAATTCTTTAGTGTCTTTGAGAAGGAGAAAGTAGATAAGGAAGCTCTGGTAAAAATAATCTTTTAAAACTTTGCACTATACCATTTTCAGTATTTTTTTTTAATAAATTTATTTTATTTATTTATTTTTGGCCGCGTTGGGTCTTCGTTGCTGCGCGTGGGCTTTTTCTAGTTGCAGAGAGTGGGGGCTACTCTTTGCTGCGGTGCACAGGCTTCTCATTGCGGTGGCTTCTCTTGTTGCGGATTATGGACTCTAGGCGCGTGGGCTTAGTAGTCGTGGCTTGCGGGCTCTAGAGCGCAGGCTCAGTAGTTGTGGCGCATGGGCTTAGTTGTTCCGTGGCATGTGGGATCTTCCCGGGCCAGGGATCGAACCCGTGTCCCCTGCTTTGGCAGGCGGATTCTTAACCACTGTGTCACCAGGGAAGTTCCCCATTTTCAGTATTTTTATTGCTTCTTTTCATCGTACTGCTTGCTAAGAGCCTGCCCTTTAGAAACATTTTAGTCATAAATACTTCGTTATCATTAGTAATGCTCTTTAGCCTTATTTGTGTGCTTTTTATCGTATAAAGTGATCTTTGCTTTGTGGAGGTTCAGAGTTCCGAGCAGCCATGTTAATAGCAATGGAGCAAAGACTAAAACACAGAGCTCTGGAAACATGAGAGCAGGAATAAATGACCACTAACTTTTCCAACTCTTATTTTCTGTTATACTTTGTAGAGCTCTACTGTGGATATTTGCTTGTTTATTTGTTTTTGTTACCACTAGGGAGTCCTAGTCATGCAAAGCAAAGAACAACAGAGTGTTTAGGCCTTATTCCTCTCAGAGAACAGGGCATTTACTTATTTATTTTTAGGACATTTAATTGATTTTAATTTGCCTAGAAATAAGAAAGATATTTGATTTTTTATGCTTAGGCTTTATGTACAGACAAAGATCTTCAGGAAATGGGAATTCCCTTAGGACCAAGAAAGAAGATACTAAACTACTTAAGGACCAGAAAAAATTCAATGGTATGTGCTTAATATAGCTTGTAGGATTAAACAGTGTTTTGACTTCCTTGTATCCTTGGGCTTTGTGAGGTGTTTAGTATAGGGAGCTAAGCAATTTTTAAAATTGACCTTTAGCTCTCTTTTCAGAAATTAAACACATTTACTTTATTTATATCTTTAAAAGTGTTATTAGCTTCAGAAGTTTTATTTCCCCTGGACTTCCACCATTCAATTTTTTCCTTTTTTTTTTTTTTTGTTTGTTTTGTAACTGCTTTATTGAAATATAATTCACAACACATACCATAAAATTCACCATTTTAAAATATACAATTCAGTGGGTTTTAGTATATTTGCAGAGTTGTATAACCATTACCACTATCTAATTCCAGAACATTTCCATCACCGCAGAAAGAAACAACATATTCATTAGCAGGCACTCCCTATTCCTCCCTCCTGTGAACCACTGATCTATTTTCTGTCTTCATGTATTTTCTTATTCTGGATATTTCATATAAATGGAGTCATACAATATGTGGCCTTTTGTGACTGGTTCCTTTCACTTAGTATAATGTATTCAAGGTATAACCCCGTTGTAACAGTGCTTATGCACTGAGCATTTTTGGCCACTGATTCCTTTCCATAGTCTAACTAATTATTTTTCAACCTTTTAGCAGGTTGCTCAGTTCTGATTTAAGGCTGATAGAGACATAACTACTTACTTTGGTTAGAAAGGCATAGCACTTCATTGAACTCCTCAGCAATCCCCAACATTCATTCCACAGTGCTCTGCTATCGTTTTCTCTCATGATGGTTGCCTAAAGTTTCAACTGCTACCCAAATGGCTTTGTACAGCTTTCATTATTTCAGAGCATGTAGGGATATCAATTCATAATTTAAGGCAACTTTTGTTTTCATCAGCTTTATCTTGTTCTCTGAGAGATTCTTCTTAAAATTGTTGACTACCATTTCAAAACCTTCCCAAGCATCCTTTTAAACCAGTAGAAAACTGTGTAATCCTTTGGATATTTTCACTACATAGCAGTTCCACAGAACTATTTTTTATTCTTTAGGGTATTAATAGACCAACCCCGCAATCACCTGCAGGGGCGAATATGTCTAACATCCCCAAAGAATCGGAGTTCTGTAGTAGTACTAATGGTACTGGAAATGGTGAACATCTGGATGTTGGCATTGGGCAGGTAACAATACTAATTCTCTTTGGTCATTTTATTGTTTGCCGTTGGTATGGTAGGAACAGATGTAACTTCTGTTGTTAATGAGAGATGCTTTTATTTCCTCCTTCCAGGTGCCTGTAAAATACCCCCGGCTCATCTATAAACCAGAAATATTCTTTGCCTTTGGATCTCCCATTGGAATGTTCCTTACTGTCCGAGGCCTAAAAAGAATTGACCCCAACTACAAATTTCCAACATGCAAAGGTTTCTTCAATATTTATCACCCTGTAAGCATTGGACAGCTCTTGTGGTTTTACCTGACTATTAGGGCTTATTGGTAAAGCGCGTACGATATTCTATTGTGTTGATTCACTTTTTTCTATATTATTCTGTAGTAATGAGATAATTTATAATAGTATATATTATTGGAATATATTACTGGAATACTGGAAGTGATGGGGCAGAACAACTACATTTTTAAAAATGAGCTTATAATTATTCTTGCCTGATACATAGCTCCTGAGACTGTCATTATCTTTCTTCAGCAGAGGTATATGTAGCTATTGTTTTTCCTATGTAGTTTGATCCTGTGGCCTATAGGATTGAACCAATGGTGGTCCCAGGAGTAGAATTTGGGCCAATGCTGATCCCGCATCATAAAGGCAGGAAGCGAATGCACTTAGGTAAGCCTTGAATATAGAACCTGATAATTCTAGACCTTCTGGTCAGTGCAAACTGACTGGACCTCATTCACTTTGTTTAGCTGTGTTGAACCCTTTTACCTCTGTAAACCATGTAATGTTCTTTTTCATATGTTTCAGAACTGAGAGAGGGCTTGACCAGGATGAGCATGGACCTTAAGAACAACTTGCTAGGTTCGCTGCGGATGGCCTGGAAGTCTTTTACCAGAGCTCCATACCCTGCCTTACAAGCTTCAGAAACTGCAGAAGAAACTGAAGCAGAACCTGAATCAAGTTCAGAGAAGCCTAGTGGTCAGTGACACTGTACATATTGATTTCCTGCACCAGGCCAGATAAGAGGGACTCCATGGTGTCTGGTTCTTATTCTCCCAGGGTCTTCTTACTTTCTCCTTTTTTATTGTTTAGGACCAATACTATGAGTCCTAATGGGCCTTCAGCTCTGCTGGTGTTTTCTGTCATCTAATAGCCACAAATTTTGGAAAAACATTGTTTGTGAGGGAAGATGTCAAGAGAAGCTGAGCATCTAGTAATGAGGCTTTAAAACATTCCCCACTTGGGCACTATGGCAGTGCTGCTCAGAGCCTACACTGTGAAGAACCTTGCTTTTACAGGGGAGTGTCTGTATTCATGGGTTGGTTTTATTTTCCTGGCTGCGGACTAGATAGGACACTTTTCCTCTTAATTTCACAGTTAATGTTGCATTCTTTTGCTTTAGTTTTCAATTGCCTAAGGAGTTTTAATCCTGTTTGCATTTAGTTTGTAAACCAAAGGCAAATGGAATTAGCCATTAAATGTACAGGAAGGAAAAAAGGGATTGGATAAAATCAGTGTGCCTTGAGGAGAAGCTTTAAGGGGATTGAGAGGAGGAAAATGAGACAGAACTTTCTGAGCAGGGTAGCTCATCCTACAGTAAAGCTGGAGCCTGAGGGAAAGTAAGGACAACCTTGGAGGGCTGGTCGCTTTTATATTCTTATTATGGTTCTTCTGTATCCAGATGTTAGCACAGAAGAGAACCTTGTAGCAGTTAAACAAGAAGCTCCCCCCATCCATGTGGGAATGCTGAATGGAGGCCAGCGCATCGACTATGTGCTACAGGAGAAGCCCATTGAAAGTTTTAATGAATATTTATTTGCTTTACAAAGTCATCTATGCTACTGGTAAGTGTTGTTTTTTTTGTCTACCTTTAAAAAAAATTAACTTATTTATTTTTTTATTTTTATTTATTTTATTTTTGGCTGTGTTGGGTCTTCGTTGCTGCGCGTGGTCTTTCTTTAGTTGCGGCGAGCGGGGGCTACTCTTTGTTGCTGTCACGGGCTTCTCATTGCGGTGGCTTCTCTTGCTGCAGAGCATGGGCTCTAGGCGCGGGCTTCTGTAGTTGTGGCTTACGGCTCTAGAGCGCAGGCTCAGTAGTTGTGGCACACGGGCTTAGTTGCTCCACGGCATGTGGGATCTTCTTGGACCAGGGCTCGAACCCGTGTCCTCTGCATTGGCAGGAAGATTCTTAACCACTGCGCCACCAAGGAAGCCCCTAAGTGTTTGTTTTTGTTTTGGGGTTTTTTGGTCTTAATTGTTTGTTAAGATTTCTTCAAATGACATGAGTGTGCTGTTTCGTAATTGTCTGAACAAGAAATCATTCTAATCCCAAATGTACACTGGCCTATCCTCCTTTTTCTACATCTATCAAATATCTGTGAAACAATTAAGACTTATTTCACTAAGCATGATATTCTTTAGGTCCATCCACGTTGCTGTAAATGGCAGAATTCCATCTTTTTTTATGGCAGAGTATTATTCCATTTTAATATATACCACATTTTCTTTATTCATTTGTCTGTTGCTGGACACTTAGGTTGCTTCCATATCTTAGTTATTGTGAATAGCGCTGCTATGAACATTGGGGTGCGTGTATTTTTTCAAGTTAGTGTTTTTGTTTTTTCTGGATATACCCAGGAGTGGAATTGCTGGATCATATGGTGGTTCTATTTTTATTTTTTTGAGGAGTCTCCATACTGTTTTCCACAGTGTCTGCACCATTTCACATTCCCACCAACAATGGACAAGCATTCCCGTTTCTCTACATCCTCGCCAGTGTTTGTTATTTTGTGTTCCTTTTTTTTTTTTTTTTTTTTTTTTTTTTGTGGTACGCGGGCCTCTCACTGTTGTGGCCTCTCCCGTTGTGGAGCACAGGCTCCGGACGCGCAGGCCCAGTGGCCATGGCTCACGGGCCTAGCCGCTCCGCGGCATGTGGGATCTTCCCGGACCGGGGCACAAACCTGCGTCCCCTGCATCGGCAGGCGGACTCTCAACCACTGCGCCACCAGGGAAGCCCTGTGTTCCTTTTGATGACAGCCGTTCTGACAGGTGTGAGGTGACATCTCATTGTGGTTTTGATTTGCATTTCCCTGATGATTAGTGATATTGAGCATCTTTTCATGTGCCTGTTATCCATTTATGTGTCTGTCTTGGAAAAATGTCTATTCAGGTCTCCTGCCCATTTTTTGATTGGGTTATTTGTTTTTTTTTTTTTGATATTGAGTTTTATGAGCTGTTTATATATTTTGGATATTAACCCCTTATCACTCATATCATTTGCAAATATTTTCTCCCATCCAGTAGCTTTTCCTTTCATTTTGTTGATGGTTTCCTTTGCTGTGTAAAAGCTTTTAAGTTTAATTAGGTTCCATTTGTTTATATTTGCTTTTATTTTTTTGCCTTAGGAGACAGATCCAAAAAAATATTGCTGTGATTTATGTGAAAGAGTGTTCTGCCTATGTTCTCTTCTAGGGGGTTTATGGTCTCCAGTCTTATATTTAGGTCTTTCATCCATTTTGAGTTTAGTTTTGTAAATGGTGTGCAGAAATTTTCTAATCTCATTCCTTTACATGTAGCTGTCCAGTTTTCCCAGTACCACTTGTCAAAGAAACTGTCTTTTCTCCATTTTGCATTCTTGCCTTCTTTGTCGTAGATTAATTAACCATAGGTGCATGGGTTTATTTCTGGGCTCTTTATTCTGCTCCATTGATCTATGTGTCTGTTTTTGTGCCAGTACTAATCTGTTTTGATAACTGTAGCTTTGTAGTATGGTCTGAAGTCAGGGAGGGTGATATCTCCAGCTTTATTCGTTTTTTCTCAAGACTGTTTTGGCAGTATGGGGTCTTTTGTGATTCCATATAGATTTTAGGATTATTTGTTCTAGGTCTGTGAAAAATGTCATGGGTATTTTGGTAGGGATCGCATTAAGTCTGCAGATTGCTTTGGATAGTATGGCCATTTTAACAATATTAATTCTTCCATTCCAAGAGCATAGGATATCTTTCCATTTCTTTGTATCATCTTCAGTTTCCTTCATCAGTGTTTTTATAATTTTCAGAGTGTAGGTTTTTCACCTCATTGGTTAAGTTTATTCCTAGGGTATTTTATTCTTTTTGATGTAATTTTAAATGGGATCTGTTTCTGATAGTTCATCATTAGTGTATAGAAAAGCAATAGATTTCTGTATATTAATCTTGTATCCTGCAACTTTACTGGATTCATTTATTAGTTCTAACAGTTTTTTGGTGGAGGCTTTAGGGTTTTCTATATAAAGTATCATGCTATCTGCAAATAGTGACAGTTTTACTTCCTCCCTTCCAATTTGGATGCCTTTCTTTTTTTTTTTTCCCTGATTGCTGTGGCTAGGACTTCCAATACTATGTTAAATAGAAGGGGCAACATTAGGCATCTTTGTCTTGTTTCTGAATTTGGAGGAAGGGCTTTCAGCTTTTCATTGTTGCATATGACGTTAGCTGTGGGTTTGTCATAAATGGCCCTTGTTATGTTGAGATATGTTCCCTCTATATCAACTTTGATGAGCGTTTTTATCAAGAATGGATGTTGAATTTTATTAAATGCTATTTCTGTGTCCATTTTGGTGATCGTGTGATTTTTGTCCTTTCTTTCGTTGATGTGGTATATCACATTGATTGATTTGTGAATGTTGAACCATCCTTGTGTCCCTGGAATAAATCCCACTTGATCATTATGTATGATCCTTTTTTCATATTGTTGGATTCAGTTTGCTAATATTTTGTTGAGGAGTTGTGCATCTATATTCATCAGAGATACTGGCCTGTAATTTTCTTTTTTTGTATTGTATTGGTCTGGTTTGGGTATCAGGATAATGGTGGCCTCGTAGAATGAATTTGGGAGTATTTCCTCCTCTTCAGTTTTTTGGAATAGTTTAAGGAGGATAGTTGTTTGCTCTTCTTTGTATGTTTGCTAGAATTCCCCTGTGAAGTCAGTTCTGGACTTCTGTTTCCTGAGAGTTTTTTTAAATTACAAATTTAATTTCACTAGTGTTTGGTCTGCTTAAATGGTCTGTTTCTTCTTGATTCAGTCTTGGCAATTTTTATGTTTCTAGAAATTTGTCCATTTCTTCTAGGTTGTCCAATTTGTTGGAATATAACTGTTTATAGTATCCTTTTATGATTTTTTATATCTCTGTGGTATCGGTTGTAATTTCTCCTCTTTCATTTCTTATTTTGTTTATTTGGGTCCTTTCTCTTTTCTTCTTGGTGAGCCTGTCTAAAGGTTTATCCTTTTTGTTTATCTTTTCAAAAAACCAGCTCTCATTTTCATTGATCTTTTCTATTGCTTTTTTAAATCTCTCTTTTATTTATTTCCTTCTCTGATCTTTATTATTTCCTTCCTTCTGTTGACTTTGGGCTTTGTTCTTCTTTTTCTAATTCCCTGAGGTGGTAGGTTTGTTTGAGATTTTTCTTATTTCTTGAGGAAGGCCTGTATCACTTATAAACTTCCCTCTTAAATCTGCTTTTGCTTCATCCCATAGATTTTGGAGAGTTGTGTTTCCATTTTTATTTGTCTCAAGGTATTTTCTGATTTCCTCTTTGATTTCTTTATTGACCCATCATTTTTTAGTAGCATGTCATTTAGTCTCCATGTGCTTGTTCTTTTCCCATTTTTCTTTCTGTAATTGATTTCTAGTTTCATACCGTTGTGGTCGGAAAAAAGCTTGATACAATTTCTATCCTCTGAAATTTGTTGAGACTTGTTTTGTGGCCTAACATGTGATCTGTCCTGGAGAACATTTCATGTGCACTTGGAAAAAATGTGTATTCTGCTGTTTTGGAATGTAATGTTCTGTAGATATCTATTATGTCCAACTAGTCTATTGTGTCATTTAAGGCCACTGTTGCCTTATTGATTTTCTGTCTGGATGATCTGTCCATTGATGAAAATGGAATGTTAAAGTCTCCTACTATTACTGTATTATTGTCAGTTTCTCCTCTTATGTCTGTTACTATTTGCTTTATATATTTAGCTTCTCCTGTCTTGGATGCATATATGGTAACAAATGTTACATCCTGTTCTCGTATTGATCCCTTTATCATTATAGAATGCCCTCCTTTGTCTTTTGTTATAGCTTTTGTTTTAAAGTCTATTTTGTCTGATAGGAATATTGCTGCCCCTGCTTTCTTTTCATTTCCATTTACAGGAAATACCTTTTTCCATTCCCTTATTTTCAGCCTGTGTGTGTCTTTAGCTCTGACGTGAGTCTCCTGGAGGCAGCATATAGATGGGTCTTGTTTTTCATCCAGTCACCCACCCTGTGTCTTTTTTAAAATGTATTTATTTATTTTTGGCTGCGTTGGGTCTTCGTTGCTGTGCATAGGCTTCTCATTGCTTTGGCTTCTCTTGTTGAGAAGCATGGGCTCTAGGCATGCGGGCTTCAGTAGTTGTGGCATGTGGGCTCAGTAGTTGTGGCTTGCGGGCTCTAGAGCGCAGGCTCAGTAGTTGCGGCGCACGGGCTTAGTTGCTCCGCGGCATGCAGGATCTTCCCGGACCAGGGTTTGAACCCGTGTCCCCTGCATTGGCAGGCAGATTCTTAACCAGTGCGCCACCAGGGAAGCCCCACCCTGTGTCTTTTGATTGGAGCATTTAGTCCATTGACATTTAAAGTAATTATTGATAGGTATGTACTTATTGCCATTTTATTACTTGTTTTCCGGTTGTTTTTGTAGTTCTTCTGTATTCATTTCTTCTTTTTTTCTTCCTTTGTGGTTTAATGATTTTATTTAGCAGTATGCTTGTGTTCCTTACTTTTGTGTGTGTGTGTATATGTTGTAGTTTTTTGATTTGTGATTACCATGGGGTTCTTATATGTTGACCTGTATCTACTTGTGTTAAACTGGCAGTCATTTAAGTTCAAACATATTCTAAACAACCTACGTTTTTTTACTCCCTTCCCCTGCATTTTGTAGTTTTGATGTTATATTTCACATCTTCACGTTTATCCCTTAACTGTTTATTGTAGTTATAGTTGCTTTTACAGTTTTTTGTCTTTTAATCTTCATACTGGCTTATTTAAGTGGTTGATCCTCAGTCCTTACTATGTATTTGCCTTTTCTATTGGGATTTCCCCTTTTCTATAGGTTCTTACTTCTTTTCCACTTAGAGAGGACCTTTTAACATTTCTTTTAGAGCAGGTTTAGTATTGATGAACTGTTTCAGTTTTTGCTTGTCTGAGCAGTTCTTTATCTCTTCTTCAATTCTAAATGATAATCTTGTTGGGCAGAGTATCCTGGGTTGCAGGTTTTTCCCTTTCAGGGCTTTGAATATATCGTGCCACTCCCTTCTGGCCTGCAAGGTTTCTGAAGAGAGATCAGCTGATAGCCTTATGGGGATCCCCTTGTATATGACTCTTTTTTTCTTGCTGCCTTCAGAAGCCTCTCTTTACCTTTTGCCATTTTAATTATGTTATGTCTTGGTGTGAGTGTGCTTGGGTTCATCTTGTTTGGGACCCTCTGTGCTTCTTGTTCCTGGATATTTGTTTCCTTCAGGTTTGGGAAGTTTTCAGCCACAATTTCCTCAGATACATTTTCGATGCCCTGCTCTCTCTCTTCTCCTTCTGAGACCCCTATAATGCGAATGTTGGTACATTTAATGTTAGCCCAGAGATCTCTTATACCGTTTTCATTTTTTAAAATCTCTCTCTTCTTTTTGCTGTTCTGACTGGGTGATTTCCATTATTCTGTGTTTCAGATCACTTATGTGCGCTTCTGTATCACTCAGTCGCTATTCAGTCCTTTCAGTGTGTGTTTTATTGCAGCTGTTGAATTCTTCATTTCTGATTGGGTCTTGTTTATATATTCTAGTTCCTTGTTAAAATTCTCACTATGTTCATTTACTCTTGTCCCTAATTCAGTTAACATTTTTTAATTAACTGTTCTGAATTCTTTATCTGGTAAATTGTTTATTTCTGTTTCATTATTTTTTCATGGGTTTTCTTCTGCTGTTTCAATTGAGAGCAGTTTGTCTGCCTTTTCATTTTGCTTAACTTTTTCTGTCACTATGAATTTAGGTGAAACAGTTACCTATTGCAGTCTGAAAGGGGTATTCTTGTGTGGGAGCATCCTTATACAGGCTGTGTGTGCCCAGTGCCGTTGATGGGAGAGCAGGATTTGATGATACGGACAGAGTCGTCTTTCCTCAGCTATCACCTTAGTGGGGGTGGAGCTGGATGTGAGGTGGGACTTCCGCTCTGCTCAGTGGCTGTCACCATGCAGTTGGGGACAGGGTCTGATCCTAAGTTGCTGGAGCCAAAGCCCTGAGGGTCCGGCCCAGGCTGGCTCTGTTCCCTTTAGGTGTGTTTCCCAACCTCCCTGCACTGGAACCCTTGCCCCAGAGCTGGGGAGGGCAGACAAAAGTGGGGCCCATGTGGGCTCTCTGCAGACAGAGGTCCAAGCTGTCTGCCGTGTGCAGCCTTGGGTGCATGTCCCCTTTGCCCCTCATAGTCGATCACTGCCCCCAGCCTCCCCTGTCTTGTTATGGGGCCACACTGCAGGGCAACTGGGGCCTGTGTGGACTCTTGGCGTATGCTGGGGCGTAAGCCGTGGGGTAGGGGCCGCCGTCAGAGTTCTGGGCTTCTTCTGATGCACTGCTTGAGTAAGTGCCAACAGTGGCTGCTGACACCCCACCCAGACTCTGCCCCAGGCCCGGGTTGCCTGTGCATCCCTTGGCTGTGTTTCTCCCTGTCGTGGCGGCCCTAGATGCTGTGCAGTGGTGCATCGTCATGGAGCTGAGCTGTGCACCCAGGTGGGGAGACCTGGCAGCCACTAGAGCAGTCCTCCCACTGTACTCTCCGCCCTGCCTGGGGGCAGGCCAGCACGCACGTGCTCCCACAGCCCTGCTGCCTTCCAGCTAGCCAAGGGGGCTCGTCTCCCCTGATTAGGACCCCAGGACTGGGGCGTTCAATCTGAGGCTCTCACTGCTCACTCCCCAGGGTGGGTCTCCGCCTGTGCATTCTCCCTTTTCCGCTGAGTCCCCTCCCAGGGGCACAGGTCCCAACCTGATCGCTTTTCTTCCCATCCTAAATGATTACATGTGGATCTTTCTTACAGCCTTGGTTGTACAGGAGTGTTTCTGCCAGTTTCCATTCCACATACAGATGTACTTTTGATGTGTTTTTTGGGGGGGGGAGTTCCACGTCCTCTTACTCTGCCACGTTGATCGATCCCCCTTGCTGTCCATACATCTTCTTTAGTGAATTGTCTGTTGAAATCTTTTGCCCATTTAAAAAATTGGATTATTTCATTAAGTTTCAAGAGTTTTCTACATTTTAGTTACAAGTTCTTTTCAGATATACTTTTTTCCTCAGGATGTGGTTTGGTTTTCATTTTTCTGTCAAGTAGGTTTTGAAGCGCAGTTTTTTATTTTGATGAAGTCCATTTTACTGGTTTGTGCTTTTCTGACATATTTAAGAAATCTTTGCCAAATCCAATGTCATTAAGGTTTCTCCTTTGTTTTAGAAGCTGTGTCATTTTAGCTTTTACATTTAGCTCTGTGATCCATTTTGATTGAGTTAATTTTTAAAGATGGTGTGAGGAAAGGATTGAGGTTCATTGTTTTGCATGTGGTTTTCCTGTTCTAGCAACATTTGTTGAAAAGTTTATTCAGATGGAGAAACTGTTGAATTGCCTTGGCTCTGTTTTGTTCCACTGATCTGTTTGTCTGTCCTTATGCCAATAAAACACTGTCCTGATTACTGTAGCTTTATAGTAAGGCTTAAAATTAGGTATCGTGAGTCCTTCATCTTTGTTGTTCCTATTCGTAGTTATTTTAGGTATTGTAGGTCCTCTGCATTTCCTTATATAGTGTAGAATGAACTTAATTTCAGCCAAAAGGCTTTTTAGGGATTTCGATTGTGATTGCATTTTATCTATAGATCAATTTGGGGGAAGAATTGACATCTTAATAATGCTGAGTCTTCTGACCCACGAACACAGTTGTCTCTCAGTATATTTTGGTCTTTAGTTTCTCTCAGCAGTGTTTTGTGGTTTTCAGCGTATGTATCATGCGCTATGTAATTCGTATTGCCCTCCTCCTATTATGAATAAGGTTGAGCAACTTGACATATATCTAAGGACCATTTTAATTTTCTTTTTGGGGAGTTATCTATACCCTTTATTCTCTTTTATATTGAAATTTTGGTCTTTTTTTTAATTGATAAATCTGTGATACGAGTTGCAAATACCTTTTCCCCAGTTTGTCTTTGACATTGTGTACATTAATTTTTGCTAAGTAGAAATTTTGATTTTTACGTAGTCAAATTTATTTTTTCCTTTTTTGGCTTCTGGAATTTGTGTCATACTTAGATTTTCCTTGCTCTCCAAAGAATTCCTTACCACAGTTTATTCTGATATTTTAGGGTTTCATTTTTACATATAAATCTTTGATTCTGTTCAAATTTATCCTAATAATAAGGTGAGGATTGATCCAAATCATTTTCAGGATAGCTATCCAGTTGTTGCAACACTGTTAATAGATTTGAGGTTCTAACTTTATTGTATTAAATTTCTGTGCGTATTTAAGGCTATTTCTGGACTTCCTGTTCTTTTCTATTGATCCGTTTATTTATGCACCAGGATCACACCATTTTAATATCTGGTTTAGCTAATCTCCCCTCACTGGTATAGGAGGAAGGAGTTTCTTAACCTGCCGTCTGTGTATGGAACTTGTGGGGAATAGAAGAAAGTCTATGAGTCCAGTGAAATTCTATTTATAATTTCGGGTATATATGTATATGGTGTCTTTTCTGGGGAGTAATCCATAGGTTTCATTAGATTCTCAAATAGATCCATGACTTTAAAAATGTCAAACCTTAGATCTAGAAAAGTGTTTGAGCCATATACCCTTATGGCAATCCACGAATGCTGTATTTTTATAATCAAATTTCTTTACAAACTGGATATAAGTAATTGCTTGTACACACACTGAATAATATCTGGAAGATGCATGAGAAATTGGTAACGTCGGTTGTCAGAAGTTGGGGACTAGTGGTTAAGAAACAGTGAGAAGGAGACTTCATTATATCCTTTTATATCTTTGATTTTTATTCATAGGATTGTGTTGGCTTTTTGAAAAAGGTGAATAACATTTAAAAAATTAAGGTGATGAATTGGACGACTCTTCCATGTTGTTCCAAGAATGAGTTCTGTGGAAAGGGAGGGCTTGGTCATTTACTACTGGCTTTTTTATATTACAGGACATAATGCTAGACTTGTTTGTTATAAGGTTACCTTACAAACCACTGCCAATTACATCACCTCTGAGTCAGATTTTTTTTTAAGCAGTCAAAAAATGAACTCGTAAGGTGGTTGTGTAGATTGAGATGATATATGTAAAGCATCTAGTACGAATGTTAGTTTCTTCTTTTTACAACATAATTTTTTCTCTACAGGGAGTCTGAAGATACAGTACTGCTGGTCCTCAAAGAAATCTACCAAACCCAGGGTATCTTCCTTGATCAGCCTTTACAGTAAAAATGAACCACCTATGGCTGCTTAATGTAAGTTTTTAAATGTCATGTATGCAGCATATTACATGTGACGAGGAACTGTGGAGCCTCAGCTCTTCCTACATATTAACATGTGATGAGGAACTGTGGAGCCTCAGCTCTTTATAAATATACTTTTTGTTGCCTGTCACCAAGATCCAGGTTATTACTCATTTTTAGAGGGACGCTGCTTAAAATTCATGGGAAAAAAGCACAGTAGGCCACTTAGAGAAAGGTTAGTGTATGTTTGTTTTGTTAGCGACTTGGTCCAATAATACTTGCCATTTTTAGGATCTAAACTCAGAATCTTAATAGTTGACCATCTGAGAGTTACCAGGGCAACAGTTACAGCTTTAAGTACAAACAGCTCATCCTGGGATTTATGTTACTCAGCCCTTTAGATGTGTAGTTAGGAAGTTTGTGTGGCAGACTCTGGCGTTCTCTCTGGTCGCCTTCCAGCGTGATGACCTCTTCAACTCCCTCCCTTAGACGGGCACTGAGGGGTCCTTCCCCAGAACACCTGCCTCTTTGTTGCTGCAGTTTTTTCCTCTCCTCAGCGGCCTCATTTCCTGCAGGTTGCCAGCCTTGCTCACCACTGGGGTCTTAGGAAGATAATCTTCCTGTCTGGAAGTGAGTGGAAAAGCAAAGGGAAGACCCTGTTACTTTTTACCGCTGGCTTCAGAGAAACACTTGCCATTCTTGCTTCATAGCTGGGAGTGGTTTGCATCTTTAATACTTTGATGATGGTATTTAGGTACCACACTTTTTTTTTTTTAACATCTTTATTGGAGTCTAATTGCTTTACAATGGTGTGTTAGTTTCTGCTTTATAACAAAGTGAATCAGTTATACATATACATATGTTCCCATATCTCCTCCCTCTTGCGTCTCCCTCCCTCCCACCCTCCCTATCCCACCCCTCTAGGTGGTCACAAAGCACCCAGCTGATCTCCCTGTGCTATGTGGCTGCTTCCCACTAGCTAGCTATTTTACACTTGGTAGTATATATAAGTCTATGCCTCTCTCTCGCTTTGTCACAGCTTACCCTTCCCCCTCCCCATATCCTCAAGTCCATGCTCTAGTAGGTCTGTGTCTTTATTCCCGTCTTACCCCTAGGTACTTCATGACCTTTTTTTTTCTTTTTCTTAGATTCCATATATATGTGTTAGCATACGGTATTTGTTTTTCTCTTAGGTACCACAGTTTATTGTTTATTACTTGAGATGGTATAAAGTCTGAGTTTTTGTTTTGGGTTGGGTATAAATTTTCCTAAGAAATTATTGCTTATCTTTAGAAAATACTCTAATCTGGAAGCGGACCCCTGCGATTCAGAAGGCATTTTGGGGTCTGCTCATCGCTCATGGGCGTTCTGTGCGTTTGAAGGCCAAGTGTAAGTGAGTGAGGGAGACTGGTGGCCATCAGATTCTCTTGAGCCAGCTTTCATTTCCTACACGTACTGTATGAAGAAAGACTAAAATCTGTAAATACTGGTTACTCTCTCTACAGCTGACTGACAGATTTATTGCTAGGAATCACTGATGCTGTTCATTGTTTCCACAGCTGTTTGAGCTGCTCTCGGTGGACAGTCTGAAGTGGACAGTTTAGTTCACATCAGGTGCATCTTTATAAAGCAAAGATGTTATATATCCTGGACCTGCCCTTTTATATCATATCATACTTCAAACTGGGAGACTCTAGACAAAGTCCGACTTAGTTGTTAGTTCTTGAGGGTTTAAAAGCTGACAGACCTGAAATTACACAGCTTTGACTGCTTATTAAGTGATGAATGAAATGTCTCAGTGGTGCATTGATGGTGAAATAGAATTTGTGTAAGCCATCTGCCACAGCTGCTTGGGTGAAGGGAGTACTGAAGAGTGTCCTCTTCAAGCACATAAACAGCGTTGCCTCCTTAGGTACCCGTCGTGCAGGTCGCTATGGAACAGGCTCCCGGCACAGGCAGTGTTGGTAGATCTGGCTAGGGGGAAGTGTTCCTTATTCTGAAAAACAAACCTGCGTCTATGGGGCCAGGAACAGCTGGTGCAGAGTCAGTGTCAGAGCGTGCAAGTGAGATGCACCTTGAAGAAGACGAGTGAATGGAGACTAATTGTTTCCAAGGCATCTTGCTCACCGCTGTGCTGTAGGTATTTTCTTTCTCACAGGTCTCAGTTTGTGATTGTCTTTGCAGTTCTCTTTGTGACAGTCCTTCACACTCCTCTCAGGTTCCTACAGGCCCTGGTGGACAGAGCGGTGTAGACAGGCAAGCTGTGTTTCGTTTTTTATATCGGTTTCTTGTAAGTAAATGTATCATGGTATCCAAAGCCCTGGAATTTAACATTCACATAAGCCATCTCTTTGACAGCAGAGGGAAGGTTAATTACTGTCACCCTAGAGCTAAGGTTGGGGTAAAGGTGAGAGCCTGGCCTTACCTTGCCCATCTGCTTACACACTAATGCTAAGCCCCTAAGAAGCCTCATCTGTATGAAATACTTTATTTTCTTTACTACATAAACTCTGAGTGTGAAGTAAGGGTTACTGAGAATTCAGTAGCATTCAGTACATATTAAAGGGGAAGCTTTCATCGAGTTGTTGTCTTCAAATTTAAATTTGGTCTTCCTATTAACAGAGTAACTAAAATTTAAGAGTAAACCAAAGGACCAGCAAGAGTGAGTCCCTGTAACCAGAGATGAACAGGATCAACCTGGATGGCTAGATAAACCACTGTTTGTACTAAGAAGTGTTTCCTTCCTGGTGGTGAGGGGCAGGTGACTGGAAAAGAGCTTTATATCCTGTTTGTCCCCCTGTGCTGGTTTCACGGATGTATGTTCCACAGGGTAATAAGCTTGACTTGAGTTCCTTGTTTGGTTGTATATTATTTGCACTACTTCAGCAGCAGCATGTGCAATCTCTTGACCAAGCCTATTTTTAAATGCTGGTGGAGGATCATTTTCTCCATATTCCCAGCTGCAGAACTGCTGTTGCTCATCTCAGCAAAAGCGATGGTTTGCGTGGAAAGATTAGTAGCACCAATTAGCTTTCTGATACTTTGCACTTTCTGAAATGTTTTTTATGTGATTATATTTAAAACTTTAGTAAATACCGAAATAAAACCATATTGACCAGTTGCCTCCTTTTACCTGGCTCATCCATCACAAAGTAAAGAGAGTCAATACAATAACCATTTCTCTTCCCCTGTGTACTACTAAAGCAAGTTTAAAAAGCGTTTTGGGCAAAGAACTAACATTCAGGTTCTTTCCCCTTGACTGTTGATTTAAAGTGCGGCGATTATAAGGTAAATATTGAGATGCTCCTTTGGTATCATTGACATCAGCCACTGCTATAGACAGTGGAATCACTTGTGTCAGATAGGGAATCTGGTGTTTAACTTTGGAAACGTTTCAGGTCTCAAATGGAACTTTAAGCACAAAAAACCACGTTCACCGTTAGGAAAAAGATATATTGAAAATATGTTACAGAAATACACAAATCAAGGTCATATTTATAATATAATCACAAAAAGAAAACAAATAAAATATAATCACAACACAGAGAAAGGCCGTTATAGGTCCTACACCATCAGTTCCGCCGACGTCCCATCATGGTCCATTATACCCTACGGTGAGGGCGGGGCGGGAGGAGACTCACCTGCCCTCCAGACAACCGTGTCTCTGACTGCCCTGCCCTGCCTTGGCTGCTTGGCACAGCTAGTGCATTTGGGCGGATCTTCAGTCCTGAGTGGAGGGAAAGCAGCTTGTAAGCACAGTTAGTTACACAAGTAAGGTGGAGACAGTGAGTACTGAATCCACGCTCCTGACCAGTTTCTTTTTTATTGTGTTTACTCAGTAATTCAACAAATTATCAAATCACTTATGTTTACAGTATTCAAAATGGACAGCAGTACTTAGCTGGACTTGAATAAGATATGCACAGTGGTAAATAAGCCAGAATTGGAGATTCTCCTATTTAAGGTGTGATGGAATTGCCACCAGAGAAAGTAAACAGAACTAAAATAATTTAATTGCTCATGCCCTAGATTTTAAGATTTTGAGCTATGGGAAATGGAAATTAAGTTCTGATCATCAACGCTAGCTTCTAGGATAAAGTGGGGCTAAGGTGAAAGCTTCTTTGTGACAGAATCATTCCAAGAACAGTACTGAAGTTAAGTGTAAAAACACTGCAGATCTTGGGATACCAATCTGATGGGCCACATTCATAACCTGGAAAGACCATGGAAAGATCTCGTTACTGGAATGCGTGGCGAACAGTAGTGAAAAAGGACCTTGACTCCTTGCGATAAATCCCTGTGAGCCAGGGCAAAACTGCATGATCATGGGGGCTTCTCTCCTCACCTATACCTCTCAGGAGGTAAAAGGTCAGAAATTTTTGTCCTGGGCCTGGTGAGTTAGGAGGGGCTGATTCACCTGTTTTCCAGGGAGGCAGCTCCAGTGTCTAAACATCAAAATGACGAGGGTCGCCAGGCTGCTTCTGCGCGGTGGGAAGAGCAGGGCTGCGCTGCAGTGGTCTGTGGCACTGGGCGTCCGTCAGGGGAGGGTAGTACTGCCTATAGCAGACATAGGCGAACGTCAGGCCGATGGTGGATCCAGCCAGGACATCTGAAGGCAGAGGAGACGGGCCTTCCCTCAGTCACGGTGATGCCACCCAGCAGAGGGAGCTTGGCCCTCCAGGTTACTCTACTTGTTTAGCCTGCAAACCCCCTCAATTCCAGGCTTATGGGTTTTTTGGGTTTTCTTAATTTTATCGTACAGTTGCAGGATGTTCTCTAAACACCAAATCAAAACACATCTTTAGTTGGGTAGTTATAACAAGGCTTTTTCTGAGTTCACTGCATTGAATATTTTTAATTGAGAAGAATAATGAAGGTTCACTTAATGCTATCAACAACTCCTTCTCACCATTTAAAGTGTTCTAGAGGAAGGAATAAACTCTTCAGGAGTTGCGTTTCTTTGCAAAAATTTATTCTTTAAAACTGAGCTCCTAAGGTCCTCTGGGCAATACTGTCAGCTTTTTTTTTTTTTTTTTTTAACTGTGGGCTTTCTGTACAAATATTTGGATGTTTTACTCTATCAATCATTCAACTTAAATTTCTTTGGTTTAATTACAATTCTGTTTTCTTGAATTTTACTTTCGTTTCTGAACAAAAACCTCACGACAGTGAACTTAATTTTTAAGAAAGTAAATTGAATTTTGAGGTTGGGTGTAAAAAATTTCTTACAGAGTTTATTCTGAACTTATGATGCTTCAAAGTCATGGGAAAATCAGAATGTTCCTCCTTGGTAATCTGTTTAAAAGATAACAGTGTGCTTTTTCATTTTCCGTGTAGCAATAAACGCATACTCAGTACAGAACGCAGACCATCCTCTGCTCACTTGTCTGTTCATTCAGCAGACACCCAGGGAGCGTCTCCTGCGCCGAGTGCTAGGGAGAAATGATGGGAGAACGGTGGAGGCGTCCATGGCCTAGATGCCTTGCTTACCTTGCCAGTGATGCTTGTAGTCACAGGTGCGGGACAGTGCAATCACAGCTGCAAAGAGTAGGGGTGACAGAAAGGAACAGAACCTCCAAGATTCCCCTCGGCCTCGTGGTGTGAAGCAGTGTAACTTCCCTGCCAGGTAGAAGGACGCGAAGGCCAGACCAGCAAATGCAACTAGAAGAGGGAAAACCTCTAAGTATATGTCTTTTAAAGAAAAAGAGGTTGTTAGCGGGTATGAATATTTGTTTTTATCCCTTTTGGTAACTTTTGGTGTAGATCATTGATCTACATCGTCAATTATGAGGGAGAAGGAAACAAAAGGGAAAATGAAGGACCGTTTCCCAAAGTGAGTAACATTTACCCTGAGAATAGTTTTGGAATCCTAGCAATGGGACTTCACTTCCTGATGTGTTAGTTTCCTGATGCATAAATGGGAATCATAAAAACAACAGTACCCATCTCATTGGGCTCTTTATGGTATCAAACGAGACACGAATCTAAAATGCTTTCGGAAGCACCTGACATACAGTAGCTCTTCAATAAAGGTTAGTTAATATTTTTATGACTGGAGCAAGACTGCAGGATTTAGGCAAATAATACAGTAATAATAAAATGTTCAAATTTCATGAAGGTAAACTACTTCCTCTGTCCTCGAATATTTAATATTCGAGGTTCAAGCTTGTCATTAAAGAAGGGGGCTCTCCGATTTCTAGATGCAAAAACAAGAGTGCATGAAATGTTCCCATCCTCACAAGCTGTTAAATTCAATGATCCCCAAGAAAAGCACAGATATAGAGTCCACATGGTATTCTTACAGGAAGAATGTCCACTGGGGAAGCTCTTGCGGCCCTCATTCACCACGTCCTCATTTCCTGTGCACGTCAAGTCATGATGGGCTTGCCCGTCGGGGAAGCAACGGTAGAAGAAGTCTGGGCGTGGCCTGCAAGAAATAAGCGAGGTCTGAACGTGGATCATTTACAACTCCGGAAATTATTTTTTGGTTGTGTTAGATACCTTTCTTAACTGCCAGTCAAATAGTGTCCCAGGCAAAACAGTGAAGCGGGATTGGATAGTCACCACTAAGAGAAAAGCCTTATTTCCGGGGTCAACATTTAAACCAGGAAGGAAGAAAAGCCACTGCGGCACATAGTTACTTTTTAGGGCAAAGAGTGAGTCGTGCTGCAGCTTCTGGGGGTGCTCTGGAGGACACCGACTCCGTGTCAGTGGGAAATGCTGTTCCGGACAGAAGAGAGCCCGAGAGTCACCCAACGGACCGAGGTAGAGGGAAGGGAGGAAGTGTTTGTTAGAAGAGAAAGATCAGACCGAGAATAAAGAGAAAAGGCTACGGGGAAGATGTGGCAGCAGTTGCGTGCGCCTGCCCTCCTGGGGCGAGGGCGGCAGCGCTGGACACTCACCTCCCCACTATCAGTTTGACTGTGTTGGTGAAGACGCCGTTCAGAGCCAGGGCCAGGCTGGCAGCTGGAAGGCAACGGAAGTGGCTGCTGGTGGCGTCTGCCCAGGGGGAGCGGCCGGGTCCCTGTCTCATTAGGCGCAGCCGCGGTCTCCGGGGACAGAGGAGCGCTCGGGCTCCAGCCGGAGCGGAGCGTGAGAATAATCCCGCCCCCCGCTGGCCACTCCGCCTTGGCACAGGGAGAGCGCGCTACCCGGACTGAGGACTCGTCGGAGCTGCAAATAGTCCGGTGCACGCAGGTGCACCCAGGACGTGGAGCACGTCTCACAGGCAGCAGGCGGGCACCCCGGAGACGCAGTCACCCGAGGAACGTAGAGCTCGGCGCCCCCCCCCCCCGCCCCGCAAGCCCCGTGGGGGCCCCCGCCTCCTGCTTCCGGCGCTGGGGAGGCCGCGCTTACCCAGGCAGGCCTGCCGGCTGTCCACTGCGTCCGCCTTCTTCAGACACCTGGCCAGGAGGACCGGGGCCAGCGGGGCCAGCAAGGCGACGACCTGCGCCCGGACACGGCAGAGCTCAGCACGCGAAAGGAAACAGGGCCGCCCCGAGAACGTCAGACAGCTAGCTGGGAAGAGAGCTCCCACATTAAGAGGGGTGAAGTGACAGCAGAACTGGCCTATCAGACCTCCCGGCTCCCCCGCAAGTGCCGTGTCCCGGGTCTGCCTGCAGCTAGCTGGGTGCCGAGCTCCCGCGGGAGCCGCCGTCACCGCTCCTCTCAACGACCAGTTGCCCCGGGCCGCCCTGAGCAGCCGCCCCCAGACCCTATCCCTGGGAGCCGAAGCGGACGGACATCTCTCTCAACCTGGCCCTTAACCGTTACGACGCTAAGGCTCGTCTTCAGCTCCGTGGCGGAGCCAGGGGGACCTGCCCGCTCCCTCCCTAGCGTTCGGCTCCGTGAGAAGTGCGGTCAGAAGGAAGGCTGGTTCTCCACGCACAAACATCGGCTTGGTGGCGAAATACTCTGCTTCCACGTACGGATTCCGGTAGAGCCACATCTCCTCGGGCTGGATGAGCCTCTGGAAGGGCGGGAGCAGCTCTGTTACCCTAAAGGGGACAGAAAGGTGCGGGCGCGTCGGCGGCTTCCCGGAAGCGCGCGCGGAGCCCGGCCGGGCGGCGGGGCCGGGGGCCGGAGCGCAAGTCCTTACAAGAAGACCGCGAACAGCGCGAGCCGCAGGCCCACCTCCGCCGCCACCTCCTTCCCCATCACGGCGCGCGCGCTCAAGGCTGACGTGGCGGCGCCGAGGGAGGGGGGCGCAGGGCGGGGCGGGGCCGGAGCGGGGCGGGGCCGAGGCCGGGCGAGAGCGGCCCCCAGCGCCTGAGACAGCGACGGACGGAAGTGAGGGGTTGCCCCAGCTGTCTGTCCCCCGCCCGCCCGCCCGCGCGCGACCGACGTTGCGTACCTTACAGAGGCCCGAGCCTTCCGTCCCGGGGACCACGCGGACCCTTCGTTTCCGGATCCAAGTCCCCCGAAGCACACCCCGTGCTGCGGGAAGACGTGCCGGGCTCCCGCAGGACCTTGCGGGCCTCGCTGGCGCGGTGGACGCGCTGGGTCTTTCGGCCCCGCGCTGGTCCCCTCCCGCCCAGGATGACCTCTTGCTCACTGAGTGGTAGCAAGAAATTACGGGCAATGAACAAGTCCACATATTTAATTTGCAACATACGGGACAATTTATTGAAGTCAACCTCAAGCAAAATCTGAAATCAGTGGAATGTCATTAAAAACCTTTCCAAATTAATCCTCACGGAAGCAAAAAACACATTTGAATTCCAAAGTATTTGTAAAATAAGAAAGGCAGCATCTCAGTAAATATAATGTACAAAAATTATATGTTCCTACCAGCACACACAGTAGTAAGAAGCTTAAATATTACAGGCAATGCTAATACACCGTAACTAGTCAACAATAAGCTATCTATATACAGGTTAACCAAGCTTTACACATTTCACACTATGCAATAAAACATAGGCCAATCAACAAAATCCCCAAAATATCATATATCTTGAAGTCTATGTGGCAACATCAAGTCATTATACAGTAATGCCCTAGTGGAATACCCCCAGGGAAAATGAACACTAATCTTTAGTGTCAAGAGCTTCTAGCCAAGTCACAGAAACTCAAAAGAGATTGACTTAGTGAATATTGATGCTTTGTTATTAAAGACTCAAGTCTCAAGGGATTTAGGCAAAAAATAACAGTTCACAGGATCTACAAAGTTTATTACAGATAAAGTACAGAAATAACCAATCTACAAAGGTAATTATCATAAAGATCACGAGGAAATGAGAGCAGAATCTGTAGGTATCTGTGTTTTGTTGTGCAATATCACAAGTGGATACAAATGAATTTCTCCTATCAATTCCAATTATGCACACACCCTTGTATATAAAAAGAACCAGTTGTAGTCATCAATTAGCATCTTGGTTATCAGTGGCAACATGATTTTCTTTTTTTTTTTTTTTAACACAGGGCATGTGACAGCACAAATGAGATAAAGAGCAATATTAGTGACAACAAAGTAAAAGTAAATTTTATCCAGTCCACTTCTAAACTGACAAGAATACCGTTTGAATCCCTCGTTTAGGTCATCTGATGGATACCGAGAGGCATTCACACACATAAGTCTGTGGCAGGTGGGGAAGGGAAACCCGAGGGTGCTTTCTTGCCAACTAGCAGGTGCAGTGATGTCACATAAGAAAACGAAGGACTGAATAAATGACTTTGGTAACTATTCATCTTTTCCCTTTTTCTTAAACATTAATGACTCTGGGACGCCACCAAAGGACAGGTAATTCTCTTCCTCCTTCGTACATATGTGCCACACGAACCTGAACTTGTCACTTAAGCAATGGACTGAAAAGAACGGAAATGGGTTTGAAACACACAGGCTACACCCAGCATTTCAGGAGAGTAACATAAGTGCAAATTTTTGTTTTTTTCCCTACGCAGGCATATATTAAAAGGAAAGAAGAGGTGCTTGGGGATAAGGTTGACAAAATAACAAAACAGAGAACATACATATGAAGTACTCGTATAAATGCTGCTGGTATTTCATGCAGGAGTCTCTTCCCCGAAGGTGTGCACTGAATCTGAGAGAACTACTGTGGACACTTCCGTCTGCAGAACTTCGCCTTTAATCCAAGTTCAAGAGGGTAAGAGACAAAACAGTATACAAAACAATGCTTTCTACTTCATAAATCTTAAAATAACTGTAAAATAAGGAGAATCTGAGGAGTTTCAAGTACTTAAAAAACCTGAATTCAATGAGGCAGAGGTCTCAGTGTTAAAGTGGCTACTTCGTACCTGTGGTAAACACTACACCCCCTCCCCTACCCTACTGTAACCCCCTTTCTCCCTGTACCCCACCCCGGATAAATGTCGGTAGATTTCAGTATATACAAATTCCCAACTCTTCGTATTTGTCAATATAGGGCAAAGCTAATTATATCTATTCCCGAGCCTATCTGGAAAGGGAAGCGAGTTCTACTGTTTGTTTACAAATAACCAGAGACCAATTCTAGGTGGCCCGAGGCCAAAGGAAGTTGTTCCAAGTGATCTTGTCTGCAGCAGCTCGGACAATGAGGGGGCTGGACACATCAGCCTTTTAAGAAGTAATTCAAGTCTAATTTGCACTGCCCAGCACAAGCAACTTCCCAATGTAGAAGGACATCAAGTGTGAGCTTCCCAAGCTGTCAAGACGCCACGGTAACTTGTTCTCTTATCCTAGTGGGACATGGCATGCGGCGGTACCTTGACTTTAAGGTGAATGCTAAAGAAGAGCTTTCTGTTTTAAAATGAAATGAGAGACAAGCAACAAATCCCCAGGAGTCCAGAGACTGCGCTCCACACAGCTGGCCCATCTGTTTCCAAACTGCAGATCTGGGCTGGACCCTGACTGGAACACACCATGCAGTGAGCTACTCAGAAGGGAAACTCTACTTCCTGAGTCAGGAAAGAAAGGTGTCCAACAGCCGCCCTGTCTGAGTCCTTTCCGCGATCATCTCGATGTTGTGAGTTTCCCAGCGTTATTCACAGGCGTGCCTCCAAATACTCTGGGGAAATGGCAGCTGGGAGCTGGAAGCAGCCTTCCCCCTGCCTTTTTTTTTTTTAGTTTTTAGATGTGTTCCTGATTTGAACACACAGAAATCTCCAAGTTTCAATGATTCTAAAAGTCAGCCTATTTTATAGCTTAGGCCAGAGAATTTCTGAGAATTAGGATAGGGTGGGAACTTGTTAAAAGAAAAATGAAAATAAAACCCATCCCACTCCTAATTCCAGCCCCGATTAGATATTCAAGAAGTGACTCACTCCCTCCAGCTGCTTCTGCCTGGCCTGCCGGGAGCACAGGGCCGTCCACCCCTCCCTTGCCAGCCAGCGGCAGGATTCCTCACGCCCCCTCCGGTGCAGGGCCTGGAAGGCCTCCAGGATTTCACCTCTAGCTCTTACAGATCTGATTTCTGAAGATTTATGCTGATTATCAAAAATCTTACGTTCGCTTCTTCCACCAAAGAACCAACATAAGGTTAAAAAAAATGCCACCGTTATCCCATGCTGCTTTAAGTTATTTCATTTTCGGACAAGAATTAAAACCCAACCATTTATGCTCTGACCACAGACAGATTTAAAAGTTAACAAATAACAACTTCTAGCTATCAGTGAGCAACATGTCTTTTGCAAAATTTCATTGGTGAAGCACAGACAAGCACCCTGCATGGATACTATGCACATATAAAGCACAACTTATTCTTTTTCTGCTTCCATAGCCCGCACCTTTAAAATATACAAACTAGGCAACAGTACGAGGTGTGAGGAGAGCTCCCTGGCACTGCCAGGACTAAAGCCACGTTCCAGACCATTAAAGGACACTCGCGGACCAAGACCCATGGCTGCGGTCAGCGATGGTGTTTTCCGCCCTGATTTCTGAAATGGCAGAACAACCCTATTAGCCAACCCCCCACCCCCCCCAAATTAAAAAACCTCAGCGGAGCTCTGCTACAGATACACAAACAAAATGTGACACAATGAAGAAGCTGCATAAAAATACTTAAACCTAAGGTATTTGTAGTATACAGGATATATACCCTGGCTTACCATATAAAAGTCACCAGATATTAAATAGCACTAAGTCCAAAACAAAGCAAGGAGATAAGATTCCATGTTGGATACCGTTTCAACACGAGGTGCATTTCAGATATTAAAGGAAATCCTTCATGTTAGTAAGTTTAAAAAAGCAAACATTTATCATATACATATATAAAATAAAGTTTTAGTATGATAAAACCTAGATTTTCTTAAATTATTTTTTAAAAGGACATCAAACTATATGATTGCTCAAGAGCAAACTTTAGTGTTTTGGTGAGCTGTAATTCATGTGACTTGTAGCAGTCGCATTTGGTAACACATATAGCATTTTCTATCTTGCTCTTTCTTTTGGGACCATATCTAATCAACAGAATTACTGGAGGCCCAATAAGTTACCTCAGAATTATTTGCTGGAATCAGGCAAGTGGCAGTTTAGGAGCTTAAGTAAAGGAATTGTAGTGTTTTTTGTTTGTCTTTTTTTTTTTTTAACAAGAAAAAATCCAGTATAATTGCACATTTACATACAAAGAAAAAAAAAAAAGAAGCACAAAACAGACTTTTTTCTTCTTTTTTCCAGAGAAGAGTTGTAAATTGATAAGGAAAAGGAACACACAGCACAACTGAAGAAATGCTGTGGAGCATCTATCTTCCCTGCCTTTATAAGGTCACTGGGTACTTCCTGAGGGAAAATAAATGCTACCAGGTACCGGCAATCGTTAGCAGTCAAAATTCACAGAGAAGCTGACGTTCATTCAAGCTAAACCTAGGCTTCTAACTTAGTACAGTGTTACAACAATGTCTGACGGGACTAATTAATTCATAAGGGAATCCTGGAATATACATATTCCTAGGCATTCAAAGCCAGTGAGTTCTGTGGGCAGATATTCCGGTTCACTTGCGTCTCTGAGCTCCAACCATTCCTGCTATCACTGCTTTCTGTGGAGCTCTCCCTAAGTGCTTCCTGCCATGAAGTGTGTTTGTGTGGCTCTCATTTACCCTGTAGAAGTACAAGTGCTACCACTTTCACCCCCAAATTAGGAACTGAACAAAAAGATCTATCCAAATACAGTTCAAATTCATTTGTGTAGTTTTCACCAGGACACGTGACTGAGTGGTCAGCTGACAAAGGGAATGTTTGCTTGGGAGAGGAAAGCAGAGACAGAAAATTAAAATGCCCATAATTCTCTCCAAGTCAGACCAGGGTGTACATTAAATTGGATAGAAAATGGTGCTTATTTGACCCAACTTTTGGTCTGTGCCTTTCAACTCCCTTTAGCTGCCTTTACCAGTGTGTCAAGACAACAGGAATGACCATTCTAACTCTGTATTCATATCCACAGAGACACACTTCATCAAAAACACCCATTATCAGTGGAGAACGTTTCAGACTCAGTGAGGGCATCCATTTCTTTTTTTCTCCAGAACAAAAAACCAACAACCACATTATATACCTTTCTAGGTAAAGTTATATCGGAAAGCCCACCTAGTTTAAGACCACAGAGGTAATATTCACTGAGGCCTTTTGATTTCAAGAGGCCAGATTCAATACTCCCACAGAGCCCTTCTCTAAGACTACGAGAGGCGTCTGGAAGGGAAAGCGAAGCCAGCCTCCCTACTGCTCAGGAAAGAGGTATGTAAGACCACCATACCCTTTTCTAGAGGGCTTTCTGCAATTCCTACTTAAAACACACACACACACACACACACACACACACACACACACACACACACACAGATTAGACTATCTGAACTACACTTCTCAAAATTTTAAAAAATGAAAATAAATAAAGGAATGATGGCTACTTTTGCTTTTTACACCCAAAGAACACATCCTAGACTTTAAATTTATCTCATTAACAGAACTTCTTCTCTTTGTTCTTATTTTAAAAGCGAAGACATCTCTTTTGCCAGCTGCAAAGGCATTGAAGCACAATAAAAGGCAAGAAAAGACCAAGGGAACCTAACCCTCCACAAAAGAATCCCCAAGCTGACAGGACGAAACTGAAAAACCAGATCCCACCAACGGCTTCTGCCTGCACGGCCTGGTTCCCCATCTTCACTTTAATAGGGCAGCGCTGATGGCCAAGGCTGTATGCACTGCAGCGGTCTCTTCTTGTACTAACGCATTCTCTACTTTTTTCTTTTCCTTTCTTCGTTTCAATAAAAAAAGAAGGAAATCACTGCCCATTTATTCTTTGACTTCTTCTCCATGATCCTGTGATTCCAATTTACATTTGATCTTGCTCCAGTATTCGGGTGACACGGGAGATACAGGGTCATGTTCAGAGCAGCAGAGACGGCCTTCCAGGGCGGAGGGCACCAGAGCCCCCTTTTCATGATCTTTGCAAAACGAACGTGGACAGAACTCACAGAAGGACACAGCTGCGCCGCCGCACTCATCGCACTGATGCCACGGGCACTCCCACTTTCCTAGTGTGGGCGGGAAGAAGGGAAGGAGCCCAGTGAGTGCCTGTCCCCAACACCCACGAGACACCCCACTTCCCACCTTCCTCTCGGACTGGGGGCTGAATGCAGTTGACTACGACTCCAAACCTCAGCCAACAGAGGTCTGGGTGCACCTGTCGGTGTGGCTGTGAGCTACTGCCCCAAACTCAGCTAGGAGCCAACTACCACCTGTGGTAATGGACAGTAAGACACCAGTCCTTGCTGGCCCATGGGCGTCCCCCATTTGCACTGAGACAGATTTTTCACTAGCAAAATCTTTGCTTGCTACTGTTGCTTGCTCTTTCCAACGCTTCCTATCCCACGGCTCCACACGGGGGACTGGACCGCCCGTATTCTGAGTCGGGCATGGTGGGCAGAGATGGAGTCGGGCGGGGCCTGCAGGCTGGGCTCACCGTAGGGCGGCTGGGGCAGGTTGAGGCAGAGCAGGTGGTAGGCTTTGGGGCAATCCTTCCTGTCGCACATGACCAGCTCGCCGCTGTCCCCGCACTGGAAGCAGTGATCTTCATGCAGCTGCTTCGGCTCTGTTTTGATTTTTCGTCTCTTCTGCTTCAGCTTAGCGTTTTTTGCCTTTTCTTCAGTTGTGGACGCACATGCCGACTGGCAGGAGAGAGGGGGTCACGGTTTTAACGATCACAGTGCGTGAAGCTTTACGTAAAAGGGAGATCCTACAACCTCACGTTCATTTAAATTCACCTGTTGTTCGGTTACCTAAAACACCAGGAGGGCTTGCCCTGTCACGGAACTGTAGTAAAAATAATTCATTTTTCATTGATTTTTTGAATAGGTGTTTGTTTTTTTTTTTTAAATTGCAAAGACAACTGAGATAGCATACACAAACCATAAAGTTCACCAATTTAAAGTGTATAATTCGGATACACTAAAGTGTATTAGGATAGTGTGAATTTTTTTTTGAAGTTTTTGAAAAAGATCTTGCTAAGTTCAAATTCAATCAGAAACACAGACATTTTCAGAACCTAACAGTTCTCACTGAGATATGCTCTAGTGGGAGGTCGGAGTCTAAACTCTGGGTAAACGCAACTGTTGGCCTGCAAATTAAACCAGGTCCCCCTGGCCAGCACCTCCTGAGACAGCCCCAAACAAGCTTCTTCAGCAGCCCCTCCCCAGCCCCAGGGGCGCCCCCTGCAGCCACTGACCTTTGGCCGCACGCCGAGAAAACCACTGCAGTTATCTGCCCCGCAGTGGCACTCCGTCCTGCCATTGCCCAGACAGTCCAGGTTGTAATTAAATGTTAGCTCCATCCCTAGAACACAAGAGAGAGAAGTATTCAGACTCAAGTCCTGGGGGGAGAGAAATGCTGTCAAAGACACACCCTCACAACGAAAAAAGAGACATAATTCTGACATGAAGACCCTTCCATCCTCCGTGTTCCACACTGAAGACGGTGATGGGAAAAAGGAAAAAAACAACGAAAAAAACCCAAAAAACTAGAGGAAAACATCCGATCCACCAATGATTAAAACAAAAATAAATATTCTACAGAGACCATCATATTCTTTTCACTGAAGTGGTCAAAGACCATGTGACAGAGATTAAGAATCTGAAATCTGTGCTCAAGAAAAATGGGTTCTAGCTTAGCTCTCTTTTCTAAAACTAATTTACACTAGTTTCTAAAGAAACAAGATGACCGTGGAATTGTCACAGCCATACCACTTCCAGTAATTAATGCCTCACATTATGATCAGAAAAGACTTCAAAATGCACATTTACTACATACACCAAAGACCCAGGGACTCAAACTAGGAGGTCTAAGCTTGCTTTCTTTCGTCTTCTTTTTTTTTTTTTTAATTTGGCCACACCATGCAGCAAATAGCAAATTCAATGTACACAGTCAGTCCCCTGCTTTTTACACATAAACAGATTCCTAAAAACGTGTGCCAGAGTTAAACAAGGGACTTCCTGTTATGAAGTGGTTTCTTTCTCAGAAATTAAAAAAATTATATTAACGTCTCCCTCCCTCCCACCCTCCCTATCCCACCCCTCTAGGTGGTCACAAAGCACCCAGCTGATCTCCCTGTGCTATGTGGCTGCTTCCCACTAGCTAGCTATTTTACACTTGGTAGTATATATAAGTCTATGCCTCTCTCTCGCTTTGTCACAGCTTACCCTTCCCCCTCCCCATATCCTCAAGTCCATGCTCTAGTAGGTCTGTGTCTTTATTCCCGTCTTACCCCTAGGTACTTCATGACCTTTTTTTTTCTTTTTCTTAGATTCCATATATATGTGTTAGCATACGGTATTTGTTTTTCTCTTAGGTACCACAGTTTATTGTTTATTACTTGAGATGGTATAAAGTCTGAGTTTTTGTTTTGGGTTGGGTATAAATTTTCCTAAGAAATTATTGCTTATCTTTAGAAAATACTCTAATCTGGAAGCGGACCCCTGCGATTCAGAAGGCATTTTGGGGTCTGCTCATCGCTCATGGGCGTTCTGTGCGTTTGAAGGCCAAGTGTAAGTGAGTGAGGGAGACTGGTGGCCATCAGATTCTCTTGAGCCAGCTTTCATTTCCTACACGTACTGTATGAAGAAAGACTAAAATCTGTAAATACTGGTTACTCTCTCTACAGCTGACTGACAGATTTATTGCTAGGAATCACTGATGCTGTTCATTGTTTCCACAGCTGTTTGAGCTGCTCTCGGTGGACAGTCTGAAGTGGACAGTTTAGTTCACATCAGGTGCATCTTTATAAAGCAAAGATGTTATATATCCTGGACCTGCCCTTTTATATCATATCATACTTCAAACTGGGAGACTCTAGACAAAGTCCGACTTAGTTGTTAGTTCTTGAGGGTTTAAAAGCTGACAGACCTGAAATTACACAGCTTTGACTGCTTATTAAGTGATGAATGAAATGTCTCAGTGGTGCATTGATGGTGAAATAGAATTTGTGTAAGCCATCTGCCACAGCTGCTTGGGTGAAGGGAGTACTGAAGAGTGTCCTCTTCAAGCACATAAACAGCGTTGCCTCCTTAGGTACCCGTCGTGCAGGTCGCTATGGAACAGGCTCCCGGCACAGGCAGTGTTGGTAGATCTGGCTAGGGGGAAGTGTTCCTTATTCTGAAAAACAAACCTGCGTCTATGGGGCCAGGAACAGCTGGTGCAGAGTCAGTGTCAGAGCGTGCAAGTGAGATGCACCTTGAAGAAGACGAGTGAATGGAGACTAATTGTTTCCAAGGCATCTTGCTCACCGCTGTGCTGTAGGTATTTTCTTTCTCACAGGTCTCAGTTTGTGATTGTCTTTGCAGTTCTCTTTGTGACAGTCCTTCACACTCCTCTCAGGTTCCTACAGGCCCTGGTGGACAGAGCGGTGTAGACAGGCAAGCTGTGTTTCGTTTTTTATATCGGTTTCTTGTAAGTAAATGTATCATGGTATCCAAAGCCCTGGAATTTAACATTCACATAAGCCATCTCTTTGACAGCAGAGGGAAGGTTAATTACTGTCACCCTAGAGCTAAGGTTGGGGTAAAGGTGAGAGCCTGGCCTTACCTTGCCCATCTGCTTACACACTAATGCTAAGCCCCTAAGAAGCCTCATCTGTATGAAATACTTTATTTTCTTTACTACATAAACTCTGAGTGTGAAGTAAGGGTTACTGAGAATTCAGTAGCATTCAGTACATATTAAAGGGGAAGCTTTCATCGAGTTGTTGTCTTCAAATTTAAATTTGGTCTTCCTATTAACAGAGTAACTAAAATTTAAGAGTAAACCAAAGGACCAGCAAGAGTGAGTCCCTGTAACCAGAGATGAACAGGATCAACCTGGATGGCTAGATAAACCACTGTTTGTACTAAGAAGTGTTTCCTTCCTGGTGGTGAGGGGCAGGTGACTGGAAAAGAGCTTTATATCCTGTTTGTCCCCCTGTGCTGGTTTCACGGATGTATGTTCCACAGGGTAATAAGCTTGACTTGAGTTCCTTGTTTGGTTGTATATTATTTGCACTACTTCAGCAGCAGCATGTGCAATCTCTTGACCAAGCCTATTTTTAAATGCTGGTGGAGGATCATTTTCTCCATATTCCCAGCTGCAGAACTGCTGTTGCTCATCTCAGCAAAAGCGATGGTTTGCGTGGAAAGATTAGTAGCACCAATTAGCTTTCTGATACTTTGCACTTTCTGAAATGTTTTTTATGTGATTATATTTAAAACTTTAGTAAATACCGAAATAAAACCATATTGACCAGTTGCCTCCTTTTACCTGGCTCATCCATCACAAAGTAAAGAGAGTCAATACAATAACCATTTCTCTTCCCCTGTGTACTACTAAAGCAAGTTTAAAAAGCGTTTTGGGCAAAGAACTAACATTCAGGTTCTTTCCCCTTGACTGTTGATTTAAAGTGCGGCGATTATAAGGTAAATATTGAGATGCTCCTTTGGTATCATTGACATCAGCCACTGCTATAGACAGTGGAATCACTTGTGTCAGATAGGGAATCTGGTGTTTAACTTTGGAAACGTTTCAGGTCTCAAATGGAACTTTAAGCACAAAAAACCACGTTCACCGTTAGGAAAAAGATATATTGAAAATATGTTACAGAAATACACAAATCAAGGTCATATTTATAATATAATCACAAAAAGAAAACAAATAAAATATAATCACAACACAGAGAAAGGCCGTTATAGGTCCTACACCATCAGTTCCGCCGACGTCCCATCATGGTCCATTATACCCTACGGTGAGGGCGGGGCGGGAGGAGACTCACCTGCCCTCCAGACAACCGTGTCTCTGACTGCCCTGCCCTGCCTTGGCTGCTTGGCACAGCTAGTGCATTTGGGCGGATCTTCAGTCCTGAGTGGAGGGAAAGCAGCTTGTAAGCACAGTTAGTTACACAAGTAAGGTGGAGACAGTGAGTACTGAATCCACGCTCCTGACCAGTTTCTTTTTTATTGTGTTTACTCAGTAATTCAACAAATTATCAAATCACTTATGTTTACAGTATTCAAAATGGACAGCAGTACTTAGCTGGACTTGAATAAGATATGCACAGTGGTAAATAAGCCAGAATTGGAGATTCTCCTATTTAAGGTGTGATGGAATTGCCACCAGAGAAAGTAAACAGAACTAAAATAATTTAATTGCTCATGCCCTAGATTTTAAGATTTTGAGCTATGGGAAATGGAAATTAAGTTCTGATCATCAACGCTAGCTTCTAGGATAAAGTGGGGCTAAGGTGAAAGCTTCTTTGTGACAGAATCATTCCAAGAACAGTACTGAAGTTAAGTGTAAAAACACTGCAGATCTTGGGATACCAATCTGATGGGCCACATTCATAACCTGGAAAGACCATGGAAAGATCTCGTTACTGGAATGCGTGGCGAACAGTAGTGAAAAAGGACCTTGACTCCTTGCGATAAATCCCTGTGAGCCAGGGCAAAACTGCATGATCATGGGGGCTTCTCTCCTCACCTATACCTCTCAGGAGGTAAAAGGTCAGAAATTTTTGTCCTGGGCCTGGTGAGTTAGGAGGGGCTGATTCACCTGTTTTCCAGGGAGGCAGCTCCAGTGTCTAAACATCAAAATGACGAGGGTCGCCAGGCTGCTTCTGCGCGGTGGGAAGAGCAGGGCTGCGCTGCAGTGGTCTGTGGCACTGGGCGTCCGTCAGGGGAGGGTAGTACTGCCTATAGCAGACATAGGCGAACGTCAGGCCGATGGTGGATCCAGCCAGGACATCTGAAGGCAGAGGAGACGGGCCTTCCCTCAGTCACGGTGATGCCACCCAGCAGAGGGAGCTTGGCCCTCCAGGTTACTCTACTTGTTTAGCCTGCAAACCCCCTCAATTCCAGGCTTATGGGTTTTTTGGGTTTTCTTAATTTTATCGTACAGTTGCAGGATGTTCTCTAAACACCAAATCAAAACACATCTTTAGTTGGGTAGTTATAACAAGGCTTTTTCTGAGTTCACTGCATTGAATATTTTTAATTGAGAAGAATAATGAAGGTTCACTTAATGCTATCAACAACTCCTTCTCACCATTTAAAGTGTTCTAGAGGAAGGAATAAACTCTTCAGGAGTTGCGTTTCTTTGCAAAAATTTATTCTTTAAAACTGAGCTCCTAAGGTCCTCTGGGCAATACTGTCAGCTTTTTTTTTTTTTTTTTTTAACTGTGGGCTTTCTGTACAAATATTTGGATGTTTTACTCTATCAATCATTCAACTTAAATTTCTTTGGTTTAATTACAATTCTGTTTTCTTGAATTTTACTTTCGTTTCTGAACAAAAACCTCACGACAGTGAACTTAATTTTTAAGAAAGTAAATTGAATTTTGAGGTTGGGTGTAAAAAATTTCTTACAGAGTTTATTCTGAACTTATGATGCTTCAAAGTCATGGGAAAATCAGAATGTTCCTCCTTGGTAATCTGTTTAAAAGATAACAGTGTGCTTTTTCATTTTCCGTGTAGCAATAAACGCATACTCAGTAC